TCCTTTGAATGGTTAGATTGAGAAACATATCGTCAGTTGCTGGCATTTTCTTAAAAATTTTTTTTACAGAAGTATTACTCACTCACAATTTTTATTATATTCTGATGCTTTAAATGTGAATTTCAATAATCCTACAACCTACAAATTGAAAAAAAAAAGAATTTTTTAATTTTTAAAGCCATGTTTGTTTTGAATTTTTAAATTATATTTATTTAACATTTATCAAACTGTCTTCGAGTTATGGAGCACGCTTCCTTATTTCTCGGACACAAAATTTTGAAAATCTTTCTCCTATATTTTTTCTTTTATTTCAGATTGCCATTTTCTTCCTTTCCTTGAAAAAAAAATAGATTAAATAAATACTACTCTTTTAATTTTATATAAATGAATTTCAATTTTATATAGAGAATTTTTCATTTTTTTTTTCTTAATTAAATATACCAGAACGTATTCTGGTCTATTTCTTTACCTCTTGCCTTTTTTTTTTTTTAACTGTTTGCAAAATAATTATTTCTAGATATTCTTAAAACTAAAACGTTAACTTCCTCTAATTTATTTCTCAATGAAGAATGTATTATTGTCGCTATTAGTGTTTTGTATGTATTTATGCGTATATTCTTTCATGCTATCTGTTATTAATGTTTGTGAAACTTAATTATATTACGAGCATCGGTCTTTTTTTATTGAACAGTAAATAAACTAGCCAAAATATATCTTTTGATTGCAGCTATTTTATTTGTAACTATCACAACAAATCGTAATTATTTGCACTGTGATGTTTAATGAATTTATTATATCACGATTATTTTATTGTTTTGATGTTGGCGAAGCGTGATTATTGAAAAAAATCAAATTCCTTCAGTTTTAATTTTGAAAATGTTGGGTAATCATCCGGTTATATAATAGTTCTTCTTTAACTCAGAGCTACGTGTGCGCGTATTTTTGTTACCAAATTCTATTTTTAAAGCTTTAAAATATAATAGTGCTTAATTAAACAACTTGTTAGAATTTTTATTGACAGTTGAAAAAACGCAATAGAACCTTCTATAAATATGGTAGAAAAGGTATTTTTATTTCTTACCAATGAGGATTTCGAATACACGTGAATGCATAACAATTAAAAAGAGATAATTTTATTGTTATATTTAATATTTATTTATTTATCAATTCGTTTTTTTTTTTTTTTAAATTTTTTTTTAAAATTCAATGCAATTTTTTTGCAATATTGTCGAATACTTCAAACAATGCATTTATTTTGCATTGGACAAAAAAAAAATTTAAAAAAAAAAAAAAGAATATTAATATTTTAGGAAGGGCGCCAGTAAGAGATTTGCCATAGGCGCTTCTTTCCATACATACGCCTCTGTTTGCAGGACGATTGTCTTTGTCCTGGGTTGATTAAGAACCTTAACAGATTTACCTCCTAATTGAGTACACTATTAAAGGAAACCAGAAATTTTTTCCAAAAAGTAAGATAGAGGTAGAGGAATGTAAAATAAAAATTGAAAATTTCTTTGCTAGGCTGTTTATCTCTCTCTTATATCATGATTGTTGCTTCTGAGTAAGGAGAGACCAATATATACTGAAAAAAGCGGCATTATTGCAATCACAAGAAATTTTACATTAAAGGAATTCTTGTGAATAGATAGAGAAGATCCCTTACTGCTCAGGAACTTCTTTTCAGATTTTGTGGGGAGCGAGGTTCAATTATGAAATAAAAAGGGTAAAATGTTTGGACTATTCAGTAAGAACAGTGGTTTTCTTATTTAAAAAAAATTCCCATGTGTTACGAAGGGACCATTTTAATTATTTTAAGTTCTTGTATGGGTTGTTTCTAGTCCATAAAAAGTGGAGAAGTGTAGTTTTATGCTTGCATATCGTTTTACATGTTATCTATCATGGTTTCAAAGTAGATAAAATTAATGGCAAAAGAAAAAGTTGACATAATTGATCTAGCACATAATGAAAAGCTAAGTTTGAGAGACTTAAGATAGAAACTTGTAATGAATAAAACAAAGTATAAGTGAAAAATAAGCTAAATGGTAGAAAGGAAATAGCAAATGAACATTTTAAAACTTTCAAATTTAGAAAAACTGAAGCAGGAAACATTTATTGAAGCTAGAATTATTGTTCTAAGGATATTGTCCTGTAACAACAAGAAATACTACTGTAAAATGGAGTACTAATATAAAAAAAGGCAAAAGAAATTTTGGAAAGTCAGAGGCTACAGGTCAAAGCATCAAATGGAAGGTGCAACAATTTTAATTAAAAGTGTACATTTTTTTTTTTTTTACTATCTGGGGCGAAGAAAAACTAGCAGATATTCAATATGAAGCATGAATAATTAACAAATTTTTCTTGATAAACATGTAAGTAGAGTTTTTGTAAAGTGAATACAGATTTAAAAATACAGTCAAAATTGTGTGAGTTCTGTTCTAACAATATTTTTGATTTAATGAGAAGATTTTCATAATTTCATTAATTTATTTTTATTTTACTGCAGCTATCAGAGAAAACAATTCTGGTGTACACGGAAATTTTTTTTTTAAAAAGAATTTATAAACACACTTTTAGTTCAATTTATTATAAACTTGTGTAAGAGCAATAAAGATAATGAATGAAAATTTTCTGATATGTCTTGCCATGAACCACATAACTAGTTGAAGCTATTGAGCTATGTTCCACATCAACAGGTGCTAGTTATAGACGTTATGTAGAATAATGTTCTACATCAAACAATTGTTACAGATGAGTACAAAGTCCAATCACAAAAAACTTAAATATTTTCCTTCAGCGTGAATAAAATAGCAGGTAAGCCTTTTCCGATTTTTAAACAAATTCTAGTTTATTTATGCATATTATTAGTTGTTATTTTAGATAATTTCTGGTGCCTTGCAGTTAAGATTACAATTTTAACCAACCCCTATATTGTCTTTATTGAGTTCAATTACATTCCTAGAGTTAAAAACAATTTTAAAATCATAGTTATAGAAAGAAAAGAATCAGAGTTTTGAGCTTCTTATGAGAGCGTCATTTTAAAAATTCAGTGTCATTTGATAATTGAAAAAAGAAAAAAAAATGTTTGAAAAGAATATGAACATTTCAAAAATTTATCATACTTACTTTTTTTTACATAATTTAAATGTTTTTCAAGCAGTTCTTCCATTCATTTTTTTAAAATTATTTTTAGTTGATACTTTTCAAGCAGCTATGATGAAAATCATCACGTCTGTCACCATGATTTCCATTATTTTTACATATTCTAGATGAGAGGTTCTTAAACTGTGCTCCACAAAATATTTAAGAAATAGGACATAAAAAAAAGTGAAAAAAATGAAATACACTTTAAATTTAGAAAAAAAAAGGAACTTTTTTTATATTATGATTTTTTACCCTCTTACTCTTTATACACATCAAATTACTTAACAAAAATTGGATGAAAATGATGACTGATCCAAGCATTCTTTTTGGACAAATAAATCACATCGTATGGTCCAGAATTCCTTGGATGCCAGTAACATAAAATTATTAAAAACATATAAACATATTGCTTCTACCAGCAAAGTATTTCTTAATCTCTAATTTAAAGGTGTTTATCAATATTATTTACTTATAACCCTTTCTTATTATGTTTGAGATTTGTCCAAAGGTTAGAGTGCTTAAGAAGGGAAAAAGTGTCAGCAAGATAGTAGTATTATAAAACCTCCAAACAATGGTTCCTTGTGAGACTGTGTCTATGTAACTTGTTTTAAGAGGTGACTACTATCTGGATTTATCATTGAACTGATAGTTTAAAAAAATAAAACAAAAAGATTTAATTAACTTAAATAATGATCCAAAACAAATCGCAAGCAGTAGATTTAATCCACTAAATTACTGATCTTACAATTATCACTTTTTAATTTAAATGGCATTAACTTGCAGTTTTCCTCAGTCATTTAGTGAAGCTTATTTTTACAGGCTTAGTCCTATTTTTACTACTGTAAATAACTTTGGTATTCTACTTTAATGTGAGGGATTTTTGCTTGTAATTGATACTTGTATCTGATTGTTCATTTATTATATTGAAAGCGGCTAACATATATTGGTTAGGTGCATGCATAACTTACTACTACCTTGCAGGTGGGAGTAATTTCGTGGAATCACTTAAAATGAAAGTTTATGGAAGAAGCACCAGGAATCGCAACTCATTATGAATGCTAGAATAAGATTAGCTTGATTCATGAAGACACCCATGTAAGATATAGGTTATTTTTGTATAGGTTATGTGTGGAATGAAACTGTCAAATTGTATCTATGTTTTGTTTCTGCTTAAATCTCCTCTAAAAAATTGTTCTTTAACAATAACTTTAATATACTAACTATTAAGAAACAATATGTTTAGCAATGATCAATTGAAATTATTGCAAGCTAGAAATGAATAAGTGAAAGAAGTTTACTAAAATACATTTTGAAGCGAATTTATGCTAGCAATGGGCAGACAAGTATATACATAAACGCCGTTGGCGAAAAATGTGTCATTGCAGAAATCTTTTTACTATTACAAAAAAGAAAAAAATTCATTCATTTATATGTTTTTTACTACCACTGCAAATGAGATTTAAAATGACATTCACATGATTTAAAATTATACACAGTGATTGCTATTTGGGACATTAAAGATCACGCATCGTGTTTTGTATTCTCATGATTTAATATCAGATATCGCGTCTTGTAATCACTCAATTTAAAAGCCACTCTTATGATTTGTGTTCAAGAAACTTAAAAATTACACATTGGAATTTGTATACATGTTATCTTACAATCAACATCGAGATTAGAACTCACACGATTTTAAAATCAAAAATCTAGATTCGTATTAATGCAATTTTAAAATCAAACGTCAAGATTCATATTCACATTATTTAAAATTCACGAATTAAGATTCCTATCCACACAATTAAACATAAGAGCATATTAAAGTTTAACATAGCTTAAAAAAATAAAACGTTAAAACTTACTTGCATTTGCCCCTCTGCAGAACTGAAACCTAAAAGAATGTCTATGATGTCAAAACCAAATTCACTAGGAGTTTTCCTATAGACACCATGAACAAGGGCACACATGGTCTATTATAAAAATAAAATACAAGTCTTTAAACAAGTTTCACTATTTAGTATAAAAATAAATGCATTAACAGTTTTAAAAGAAAAGAGAGAATAATAAAATTATAGAAGAAAAAACACTGTCAAGAGTTGTTTCAGATATATTTGCTTCAAATTTTATGACACAATTATTTGATTGACTTAAATAGGAGTCTCTTTTTCTATAATAATATAGATTTTCTATTAAAAAAAAATTCACAAATTAAGTAAATCTTTAGATTTTTCTTTAATTTAAAAAACAATTTTACTTCTTTTTAACCAGGTAAAACAAACTAAAGGTATGTATCACTCTTAATTTTAGCAACCCAAAAGGGTTTAATTTTAAATAATAAAAATTAATCTGCTGCCTCAAATTCAAATATTTTATATATATATATAAAGAAAGAAATCTATATTGTACACAAAGCCCATAAGTTAACCCTTCTTAATTTAAATTATAATTCCTAACTATTATTTTTCTATATCAAGCCTCCATCCTATACATTAAGATAACTATTAATGTACTCATAAAAAAAGAAATTTTAAATGAAATTATTTCATGACTTATAATGTGAAAAAAATTACAATTCATAAAGTGTTAACACATGTGAATCAGAGACAGCTTTATAACTCACTAGCAAAAAAAACTTTTTTTATTCAAAGACAATGCATATGATTAAATAAATATAAAGATAAGTAGAATTTTTAAAAATTTTGTTAAAAAAAAGCAACTATATTTAAAAAACAAAACAAAATAGAAGCAGTAGCAATTAAGTAAGAAAAAAAATCTGATGAAGAAGAGTTCTCACAAACATTAAGAAAACAATTAAATGACTCAGTATTATAAAAAAGGGAAAATTAGAATGAATTCAAAGAAAAAGGCCATAGTTACCTGTAAAGCATTCATGCAACGAATTTGATTTCCATCCATTAGTATTCGAACACAGTGATGAAACAAGTTGTTAATGGTGTCCTAAGCATAAGATATGTTGAAGATGTTTACATAAAATGAGGGAAATTACATTTTTCTTACAAAATATAATATTTAGTTTGGTATAACTTGATATTAAAAATTATTCAGTATATAATTTTAAACACAACTCAATAAAATTTATAAAAAAGATTCATTTCATAAAGTGCTGTTTTAACAAAACACTAAAAAGAACCATATTCATAGAATATTGTAAATTATTTTCCAAGTTATTTTACACAAGATAATAATATAAGATAAAATCACTTTTTGTATTGTTTACTAGGGAAGCAACAAATATTATTTTATTTATTTGCTTAAAAAATGAAAATTTTTGTTGTTACATCCATTTATTGATTAGTGTAGTTTAGCTATATCACCACTTCTAAAAGGAAATGTGTTGCATTATACTATTTATAATTTTATAATAGTTTAATGAAGAAAGTGGGTGATTAGAACATTGAACCTCTATAATTCAAAGTTGGTCAGATTTCAATTTCGTACTAATTTTTTTGTCAAAATAGTAAGAGGAAACATAACATAAACTTTTGTTTCTTACTGCATTCTGTTTAAAATTTGCTAAATTATAACCACAAAGTAAGATTTTTCCATATGTATTTCCTTGACAGGTGGCTTTGGTATTTCATATCAAATATGCCTGCAGAAGCAATGAATGACACTCGATACACAGTTTTTACAATTTACAATACATAAAACAAATTGCAGAAATAAACAAATTTTACAATAAATAAATAAAAATTACAACTGATAAAAAAAACTGCAAAGTTGAAGAAAAATGGGATTTTAACAAAAAATATGTTGTCCCCCAAATACCCATTCCACTACCCTCACATTAATAAGGCAAAGTAACAGCTTCTATAAGACAGCAATATTAGCTGTATTAAAATGTTATTGAGTATAACACTTTATATTTTGCATTCTTAAATCTCAAAACCAGAATTAGTGATTAAAATTAACAACTAAGGTGCTTACATTTTAGACATTGTTTACATGAAGATACTGCAATACAAATAATTTAATGTAATTACAAATGCATGTATAAATTTTTAATTTTCTTTTAATAACGTATTTTAATCATACTACCTTTAATGAACACACATCTTCAAAGGTCATGCTATTGAACTTGCTCTCCAGAAAGGAAAGGTTAGGCTGTAAAATTAAAACCAATTCGAAATAAAGTTGAACTCAGAAGTATATTTAATCAATAACTGGTTACAATACAATTGTTTGACGATTTCTTTCTACTTTTCAGTCAAAATTGCAAGGATATAAATATAAGATATTTCCATAAAAAAGTGTTTGCTTTACCCCAGGTTTGGATGTAATGGTTTTTATAAAATAAAACACTTTTTCATAGTTCTAGTAAATGCATATTTGGCTACCTGCAAAGAGCTTTTTCTTTGCCACATGACCTAGCACGGGATATCTTGCATATGTTCTTGACCACAACTAAATTGTGGTTACTAGTTTGCTACATTCAAATTGCCATGTGACTAGGAGAGATTCCTTGAAAGATGAGATTTCTAAAAATTCTCCAGCACATGGCGATTTGAAAGTAGAAAGCTAGCAACAGCAATTTGTATGGTAAAAATTATGTGCGAGATATTGCCTGCCAGGATGCATGGCACTAAGTAAAAGTTCCTTGTGGATTGCCTTAGCTTTTGATGCAAATGGACTCAGCATAAAGGATTATGTCTAGAAAATTGTGTATTTTATGAGTTTTATGAAAATTTTGAAATAAAACAAAAGCAAAATGGTGATAAAGTTGTATCTGGGCAATTTTATGTGAAATTCTAAATCAAAATATTTGTGAGCATTTTAAATCAACGTTAATTTTACCACAAACAATAACCATCTTCTGGGATGAAAATATATATTTAAATTAGTAGTCACATTTTATATTTATATAAAAAAAACATTAAAGAAAATATTTATGATGTTATTAATTGATTACAGCATAATGCATAAGTAGTTCAAAGTAAGTATCTCTTAATTTCTTTTCTGACAGATTATCCTCTACTTGCACAAGTTACAAGTCATGGACAACAGGTGAAAAAGTGAACCAAATATTTTCTCGCTAGTTTGGAATGTGTTTTTGTTTGCATTAAACAACAGAGGACAAGAAAATTTTATGACTGGTCTCACTTAGAAGTTTCACTGCATGCACTTTAATTCAGTTTTTATTTTTAAAATGATTTAAGAAAGTTAATTTAAATATATGATAAGAAAAAGTTAAAAAAGATGAGCTTAATTCAGGAATTCTTTAAGTAGACTAAACTTCAACCTTCTACTAAAAAATTTCCAAAAAAAAAAAAAAAAAACTTGATTAAGTGTTTTATTATAATTTAATCATCATTCTATTAAAATGGGAAAAAAAGATTAAAAGAACAAATTTTAATAAAAACTTACCCTTAACAGAAAAAATTCATCCCAGAAATTCTGATTTGAATGTGAAGGATCTTCACCCTATTAAGAGAATAGAACTCATTTTATAATAATTTTTTGAACAATGATTTTAATTATATTTAAAAATTCTGAATATTCTTGTAATTCCCTTTAAGATAATTGAAGAAAACAATAAAAAAAGATCCAAGTTTACATGAACAGAAATAAGATTAAGAAAAGAAAGTTAATTAGGATTAAGAAAAATATAAGTTTATATTTTTTAACTTGCAATGCTAGTAAAACTGGTATAAAAGATAAGGTGCAGGAAACAGTTCCAAATTTTACATTAACTGAGTTTTCCATTCAAAAGCCATTTAAAAACCTGTTTCAGTTATTTTAAGAAATGTATAGCATTTTGTAAAAATTTAAAAATTTTGAAACCATACAATGAGACTAGAATATTTTACATAATAGCAATTAATACATTTTACAATAGGAATTTTTTCCAATTTCCGTTAAAATTTCAAATTTCAAGGGAGTAATTCAGTAAAATAAGTCAAATTCGAAGATTTTTGCATCAAAATGAGAGATGAGAAGAATTTGATAATTCTTTTTTAAGTAACCTGCTAGATTTAGAAATTAATGTCATAAAATTTGTTAGAAGTTTAATAATATTTCATCTTTGATTCAACAGTTATATGAGTGCAAAACCTATGTCTAAAAGTTATTGACAGGTTTCTGTATACATTTCATTCAAGTTTTATACTTTCTCTATTTCTTCTGCTCCAGGAGCTTTTTTTTTCTGGTTCAATTCAATATCAATGGATATCCTAAGTAAATTTTCAGAAGAGCACCATCTGTTTTAACTAAAAATTTCAAACCTAATAAAATGAAATTTTTTGCTATGTAATGGAGAAAATAATTTTTTTCTTTTCAAAAACTACAATAAAATATTTCAAGATTGTTCAAAAAAATGATCAATTAATTATATTTAGCTTTTTGTTTAAGTAGTTACTGGTATGTATCAATGTTGGCATTAATGAATTATGATATATAGATATCAATGTTCTCAATAAGCAGTTTTAGAAGGACAGACCACCCTGCCGGTCCTCTGATCCCTATAAATGAGCCCTCACCTTTTTTTGTAAAAATAAGACATAATCCCTTGAAAACACTACCTTTTTTTTCAGGAAAAGGTTATTTTCTTAACCACCTGTTTTAATGAAAAGTTCACTTTTGATTTATTTTGTTATTGGTAATCATTTAACTTTAATTTATAATTTCATTCCTTCATTAAAGTAACATTTCCCTTAGGTTTTCTAGTTATATAATTAAAATTCGCATGATATTCCGCATCAGAGTTATTCACACAAATTTTTATTCTTTCATTAATTTTAATTGAAGTATTCGAACATATTGTATTATTAGATCAGATTGTTAATCAGGATTTCTCTAGGAAAAAGTTTTTTTTCCCCGAGACACTGGAAAAAGCAGGAAGTGACTAAGATCTAAAACTGATCAATACAATTGTATAGCAATAAGTTTCAGCTTAAATTTAAACACATAAAATTTAATATGGTAAAAAAAGTTGAAAGTTTTCCTTCATATGTACTCATTTTTTTTAAAAAAAACTCTTTTCTCATTTTACTTTTACACAAAATATTAAAATCTATTTATCTATTATAATGCTTTGTTTTTATATGGATAATGTCTTATTTTTTTAAAATAAATATAAATATGTACCCTTACATCTTGATAAATTATCTGTGCTTATAATATTTAGTTTATATATTCTAATTTAAGAAAATAAATAATTCACTGTTTAGATAATAATTACACACTGGAAAGATTAATTATTTAAATTAAATTAATAATTCCGGATAAATAAGTTAGTTATGATTATTATTACAAATATTTGTTTTGTTAGGATTATTCTCAACTGATTAAATTTGAATTAATTTCTTTTTTTAGGAAAAGGAGGTGGGGTACATTAATGATATTTTAGTGATTTTAAATTTTATCATTATTCTTTTTAAATACTTTTTATTTAAAAATGTATCATTAAATGCTTGTTTTCTCATAATTTTCAGTTCAAAATATAAAAAAAGATTTCAAGTTGTTAATCAATGAATCCTATATTTTTTTCTTTTTTTTTTTTATAGTTTACTTTCATGATGAAAATTTATACAAAGAGATAGTCTTGTAGCTTGCCTTAATTATTTTTAAAAAGCTTCAAATTTTCTGTTATTTTGATAATGAATGAGAATTATAAAGTGAAATATACACATGAAATAATATTAGAGGATAATTTAAAAATTGAGGGTCAAACTTAGTTATTATATAATCTTACACAATTTGATAAATTTTAACGATAAAACTCAAAGTGCCCTTTTCAGTGAGGATGCGCCTCGCCTTTTTTCATCAATAAGAAGANTAGATATATATATATATATATATATATATACTTGTAAAAAATAATAAAATTCATTTTAAAATCCTAATTTTGTAAATTTGTCACTTCAAAATATCATAAATCATACATAATCACTAATAGTATATTATTAGTTTTTATAAATACAGATTTTTTAAAAGAGAGGAATAAGAATTTTCATACATCGTAACAAGATTAAAAATGACAAGTGTGCATAAACTTTACTAATTATTTGGAAATAGGTTAATGAATTTAACAATATCAAATGAGCCATAATTTGCAACATATTCTAAGGTTACAAGTTAATGTACAGTTGTTGCTTCTCTTATTCATTCCATTAAGAAAGATACAATACTATATTATAATCAAACGTTAATATAACAGAATACATATCATCTCTTTATTTTATAGATCAAGTTGGAAGTAAGCTTTCCATTTTTAACATTAAAGAATGTTTCTTAGAAGACCACATTCCCAAAGGAAAAGAGCAATTTCTCTGATTCATTCCATTAAGATATGACATATTATAGTCGAAAACCAAAAAATTTCATTTGGAATAGAATTAAATTATATTTATTTCACATTTATAGCTAAACTGTTGATTTTAAAACTTAATTTTAGATTATAAATGTTTTTTTTGACAAAAATTTAAAATTGAAGTATAAACTTTAGATATACTGGCCTAGTTATTGTTTCCAAAGATTTTGGTGACAGAGGAACAAAAACTTCTCTTTCATTCCACAACCAGACATGTTTTGATGAGAAAAATAAGAATTCAAAGAAAAAGAATTATTTCTAAAAAGAAGAAATTCGAGAAAAGTTACAGCTTTTAATATGACGCTATATTGCGAGTGTAATATTAGAATTTATCGTTTTGTCTTTTATTTATATTAATTAGCAAATGGCGCTGCCATTGCTTGACTTTTAGAAGCTATCTCCTTCCTAAAAGGAATTAGTCTTGCTCTGACTGGCAATCAGTAAGGTTGTCTGGTCTGAGATCATTTGCTTACATTTCGTTTTTCCTAATTTGTTATAAAAGTTATTAAGTTTAATTTTGGAGTTTCCTTTATAAGTCCATATGAAACAAAACACAGTTACAACAGCAAGAGAAACTTTTAGTAGTAAATTCTTTTTCATTGCCATTGGTATATTACAATTTAAAGTTTAGAGAAAGGTGAATTCAGGTAAACGTAGAGTAAACCATGAAGTTACAAATATTGTAATTAAGTTTTTAAAATATCAAAATGCCAACAAATTATAGGAGAACTTGCCAACAGCATAACTCTAAGTTGTTCTCTCATAATTTGTTTGCATTTCGATATATTTTTTCAGCATTTAAAACTTCCTGACTTACTATAGGTATACCTGAACTCATTTTTCGATACTTTAAATTTTAAAGAACTTGTAGAGGTGAAAAAGGAGATTCTCTAGGGGTATAGTGTCCTCTTAAAAGGCAGGTGAACAACAGATGGAGAATCAAATGCTTCGTTCATTAAAGTTGAAGAACACTGAGAGATGAATCCAGTTTTAATGTGCCTTGAAAGACAAACTTTCTACCTTTGTGCTACTAACACTTTTGTTAATACAGTAGGGAACCGATTATCCGGAACGATCGGGACCGTCGCTATTCCGGATAACTGATTTTTCCGGTTTTCTGAATCGCTACAAAAAGCCGTTTTTTTATTGTTAAACCCAACTAAAAAAAAAAAATATTTGGAAATAATCTTAAAAGGAAGAAAAAACGATGAATTATTATAACTATAATAATAATTATACTCACTAATAATTATTTCCAAAATGATGGTAAGGTAAACATCTTTAAAAAAAGAAAGAAAAAATCATAAAATCTTATGAGGAAAAAAGCATTTTTTTAAAAAAATGGCGGGAAAACTTATCGAATTTCGTTCCGGTTTTTTGGTTTTCCGATTTCCGGATAACGGGTTCTGTACTGTATTTCAATACTCAATTATTAAGGCTTTGAGTTTCAATCTTAAATGTTTAATCATTTTTATCTTGCACCTTTAACCCACTGGCGGTTCCGCACGTAAAAAGTCGCATTTTAACTGGCAGTCTTTTTCGCATAGCAAAACTCCTTTTTTTTCCCCTTCATGTCATTAGATGGGGAAATAGTGTAAAGAGGAGAAACATCCTCCCAGTTTTGTCTATTTACAAAGCCACCAGTGGGTTAAATACTTTAAAAATAGAAAAAAACTTTGATTTGTAGTTGAATATATAACAACATTTTTTAATGTTTTTATTAAAAACGAGAAAATTTATATAATAATTTATGGGTATCTTATATTTTTTTTAGACACAACTGATTACTGTTATTTAGAGCACAAAGTGTATTGCACAATATTTTCAATAACTTCTGAAAAAAGAAAAATAACATATTTCTTATGAACCAAAAACAATAGAACTAGAAAGAAAAACAAATAAGTAATTGAGACATTTTAAATTGACCATTTAAAGTTTTACTGACCAGCATATCAGTAAGAGTTAAAAATTACATACTTGAAAGAAAGCTTCATAGATCTGAACAATTTTCTCTTTTAAAGGTCTATTTGATCCTTCAGCTTTTGTCATGATTAACTAATAAAATTCTACACTTATCAACAAGAACACATCTAACAAAAAAAGAAAAAAAAGGGTTAGAGCTATAAACAATATTTTTAATGGAACAACGATTCTAATAGACAATAAAAAGCTTAAGATAACAAGTAAATTAATTTGGAGAAAGCAATGGCATTGTCCATAAAATCTTTAAAGACAAAATAAATTTGCAATTTTCTAAGAACAGTCATATTTTTCTGGAAAAAAAATGGGGGATAGTTTTAAGCTATAATGAACTAATCAGTTATAATGAACTGTTGACAAATTAAATATAAAATTCATGAAATAAACGTTCTTCTAGGATTACCAATACAATTAGCACAATTTTTTTAAGCATATTGAACTACAACTAGTTCTGAAATGTTTGTGTCCCACTATTTCTTAAAACAAGTGCTCTTCATGTTAGTTTCTGCTTTAAAAAATTTTAACACAGAGAATAGAGAGATATAAATAAAGACCCCATATTTAATTTCTCATGATGAAAGGAAATTAAAATGCTGTGGAATTAGCTTTTTGTTTGCATGATGGATATATCAACCTAGTTAAAGTTTTAGATATCATTACTTTTAGAAAAACAAGGAGACTGAAAATTATCCTTTAATTTTCGAAAACGAATAAATCTAATATAAATAAGATTAATAAAACAACTTTACTGTTTGCTGATGTTTTAGCAACATATAAAATCTTTTGTAAAATAAATATATACATAAATATTTGTTTACATATATGCCAGTGCTTTTTTTTTTTTTTTTTGCATACTGTTTCTCTGGGGTTTTTCAGTGATTTTGGCATACAAACCTACATGTTTCACAGCCTGGTAAAAAAAATGACCATAGTTAAATAATTAGAAACATTGCCTCAGATATATGTTGCACAGCACCTTGTGGAATTGAACAACTGTTTCAATAATTCACACAAAAAAAAAAAAAAAAAAAAACAAANATTGACTGTCATCCATTAAAAAAAAAAAAACATTAAAATTATACCACAAAAACTAGCTACTAAGACTACTATGTGCTAAGTAAAAAAAGGGATCACCCTGAATAACTTTTGATCTAATGATTGGATCTTCATGTTTTAGGACTCAATCTTAATGGTTCAAGAGGATGACCTCAAATATGCTAATTAATCAGTGCAGACAATATTTTAGTAACAAAATAAGACTAAAGTATACTTTCTCTAAATAAACATGCCATTCTTTTGCTTTCTGACCACCAAATTATAAGGAGTAGCCGCTATCTGAGAAATATGGTGCCAATAGTATGGTCAGGAGAGCAGCCAAAATTTGGACCCCTAAATGTTAATTTTACTTTTAGAGAAGTTTGTCATATCTTAACGTTTTAAGCAAATTGAAAATTCTTTTCACACAATTATAACATTTGCTTACACAAAGATAATTCATTCCATTAAAAAATAGTTTTTTTGCAGATATTTATGTTATTTTATATAAGATCAGTCGAAAAATTTTGAGCTGCAAGTAAAACATTCCTTTACATCATTTTTACTAATATAATTTTACATGACAGAATACAAAATTTGAGCAAATTCGGTCAAATAATTTCTGAGAAATTGAATTTTAAAAAAATCTTATTTTTCTGGTTTTTTTTGCCGTGGTAAGTTTCTTATGTTATTATAATCAAAGCTGAAAAAATAATGTTGAGTCACTTTGTATAGTGGCTAAAGGATATCCGAGTAGCAACATAAACAAAATAATTACAGGAATTTGTAGTTTCTTTCAATGAAGTTGTTGCAAATTTTTGAAATACTCCTATATTTTAAGAATTTCTTCTGAAAAATGATATATCTTGTGACCTTAAAACCATAGTAAATAAAACAGAAAAAAAAATATCCTCGTCGCTGCTTATTCTCGAAAAGTCGCAAAATTATTTCTGAAGCGAGCTAATCTTTAGATAAATGTATTAATTTATTCTATCATATATTAATTTTACAAGAGATATGATGGAGTCAACTTACTGGGCATGAGCGTCATTGCTATGGGAGGGGGTTGGGACACACTGGTTATTTGTCCGCTTTAATGATGAAAAATCTCTAAAAGTCTCCCTCAATATTTCAATAAATAAAAAAAAATTTTATGAATTATCAATTTAAATTAATCAGAGTTAAAATCAAGAAAGAGATTAAAATAATTAAGTCTTCTATCAAACATAAGAAATTTTTTCCATACGTATGAAGTTTAGAGAACGATTGTGACTGTGCATTTTAATATTCTTCCCCTCAAAAATTGGACCCCTGCGATGGCAATACCTTTAGTGACCCAACTTTATCTAGATTAAAATTTAATATAGATCAAAATTTAATATAGAATTTATACACTACTTTTTATAATGCATTCTAAAAAATATAGTATTCAGAAAAAAGTTTTTCTTTAAAAAATTTTATAAGAAATATATATCACACCATAGGAGTATATATTACAAACATACCATCTAAATTAAATAAAATTTTAGTGTTCTTGTAATACATCTTACTTCTTATTCTTTTTAATTGAAACTGCGCTAATATTTTAGTTACAGATCAATATAAAGACAATATATATATATACATATATATAACATTTTAATTGATTGTANATATATAAAATGAAAACACAACAGTATCAAGTCTCTCTATGACAGAATTCACCAAAGTGGGCCCATTTGAAAAAACACTGTTTTTTTTTCGTTTCCATATCGGGTTTTATCCGAATTTACTGTCCAAGATCAATAGAAAATATAATTTTTTATATAATAGTAAAAATAATTTTTAAAAAATAATAAAAATAATAATAGTAAAAATAATTTTTAATTACCGTCATTTAAACAAAAACTTCCGAGCAATTAAAGCTAAATTAACTTTATTTAGCCTTACATATCATATAATTCAGCTAAATTAACTTGAAATGTAAATCAGAATGCAACTTGGTTTGAATGTGCTTTTAATTAGGATGGAAAAGTAAAGCATTTATTCCCATGAAGAACACATTGTTGATTACGGTTAGTAAAAATATTATGAATATTTTTACGATTACGATTATTTATTAGAAATTATTATTAGAAATTATTATAATGTTTTTGATAATCGAAATTTCATTTCAATTCGTTAACTTTTGATTTTATATGAATTTTACAATTTTTTGAATATCTAGACATTTTGTAGTGCTTTAAACTATAATATCAATTAATTTCATTTATAAAAAAAAAACTATCAGTCTTTAAGAAACAAAATTATTTATGTAGCTTGAGAAACTTATATAATTTTTCTAAGCAAACTGTGAGTTATTTATTTATAAACAAAGTTTATATATTATTATGAAACATAAAAACTGCTTTTTTAATTTTATTTTCTAATATATATATTAATCATATCTTTGAAATTAATTAGTATTTAACTTTTTATGACTGCATTAAAATTGAATCAAGTTTCAGAAATTTTTTTCTGAGTTGCACAGTTAAATACAGAAATTGACGATCACATTTTTTTCATACATGTTTTGTTAATAAAAAAAGTATGAAGGAAAACGATTTTTGGGAAAAATCATTGAAAAAATTATTTGACCTATTAATTATTTCAAACTAAGGTAAACAACGTTAAAGAGCACAAAAATATTTATAAAATACAGGCAGCTGTTTCCGATGCTCAAAGGGCAACCTTCATCAGTGCAGGGTGGCCACTCAAATCAGATTTCAAATTTTCCTGATTTTTCCAGATAAAAATCTTAAAATTTCCAGGTTTTAGTTTCTTTATTCTAATAAAGTGTAGGCAAGAAAAGTGTCTATATTATAAAATATTTTCTTCAAAATGTTATTTTTTTAACATATCTTGAAAAAAAATATTTATTTTGACAATTTGGCAAGATTTTTCATCCATTTCTTAATGTTTTGGTACAAAATTTTGAATCAAAAATCATATATTGACCAACAAGAGTAAAATTGAATAGTAGTATATAGTTAGTTCTTAAAAAAAAAACTTTTTTTAAAATTAAAATATGTTATAAAAGGAGGTTAAAATGAAATAGAAAAAATTAGCATTAATGCAACAATTTGTCGATAAACATTGCTGTTAGCGATTGTAAAAAAAAATGTGTGATTGGTTGGTTTGCTGAGAAAAAATAATTCACAGATTTCTTTTAATGGGAATACAAAAGCTTTCAGAAAAAGAGTGCAATATAAAATCTATTATTATTATTAAATTATAATCAACTAATTTTTGGAGAATTTTATAAAGTTAAAAATACAAAAACATTTTGTCAAAATGGAAAAAAAATTACCACGAAATCATTGGAACAAACTTAAGCCATAAATGGATTCAGCCCAAGGACAGAATTTAAAAACAGAAGCTAATATCCTAATCCCTTCTTCCACCTCCACCACAATCTTTCCTAAATTGCACAGTACATAGCGGTCAAAGGTTTCCACATTCGTTTAGCAACAGCGGGAGAATTTTATGTGGCATTCTAGTTTAGCAGAGCTGTAATGGAGCAAATTTTGATGCAAGTAAAGTATTGTTAAGTTGATGATATTTCAACTGCTTGGAGATACATTTCCGTCTAAAAAAAAGTGGGTATAATGGATGAAATAATTTAAATTAGTGAAATTAGAAATATTTCCAGATTTTCTTTAAAATTCCCCGATTTTTCCAGGTTTTTATCCAAATTTCCATGATTTTTCCAGTATAAAAAAAATTTCCTGATAATTCCAGGTAGGTGGCCACCCTGCAGTGCAACCAAGTGGGTTGAACTGATGAAGGTTGCCCTTTGAGCATCCGAAACAGCTGTCTGCATTTTATAAATATTTTTGTGCTCTTTAACGTTGTTTGCCTTAGTTTGTATTTTAGCGCAAAGGTTGCCCACTTGTGTATTTATTAATTATTTCTTTATATTTTATAGGTATTTACTTGTAATAGTTATTTATCATCCTTCTTTAATATTATTCTCTATTCTTATGACTTGATTCCATTTATAGGGTTCCCACGGTCTGTAAAACTTTTTAAAGTGGCAGCAAAGATGTAATAAACTATCCATAAGTATTTAATTTTAAAAAAATTATATGGGTGCAAAAAATAACTCTGGAATAATTTTGTGATTCACAAAAATGTAAGAAATCCAAAAACTTGAATTTTACCCAAATATTTTAGAGCTAATTCTATATTAATTTAATAAAAATAGTGAGATTCTTTAATTAAATAATTTTAAATTTTTATGAAACTATATGTTTGTGGTTAAGGAATAAATATAACCTATCAATCAAAAACTTTAGCGTAGGTTAATATACAGAAGTCTCCCATTTATTTCTGCATGAATTTAAATTTTTAGGATTGCGACAAACACATCGTAAAAATTTAATATCTGCCTATGCTTTCAAAAGGCTTGAAATGCCTTTTGGCTATTCAAGACTTTGGTTAACATTTAAAAACCATTTTAATATTAACCATTAGAAACATTTATAGACATTTTTTAATATTCAAATACCTGTATGTTAAAAAATATAACTTACGTGTGGAAAATACTAATCCTTATTAATAATTTTACAGGCTAGTTATCAAGTTATTGAATTGCAACAAATAGAAATTTACTTTCTGAAATATAGAGTTATTTTTTTTACAGAGTCAAAATTATGTCATTAATTAAATTCATTGCTTTTGAATTACATAATTTGAGGAATAAATTATATATGTCAATATAGGAAACACAAACCAAAACAACTATGGTTACGACGTAGTAACAAAGCCCAGTAATTATTAACTTTAAAAGTTTTCAACAAACAATATTAGCTAGTTATTCCTGAGAACAAACAAAGCAAAGTAATAATACAAATAATCTTACTTATTATTATAAGAAATTAAAAACCTTTTTGTAATAAATTCGAATCAATTATAAATCCTAATGGGTAATATTTTTTCCTTATTTCAATATCATTAATGTAACTTTAATCTATTTTCTTAAAGCGAGAGATGTTAAAAGCGGACAGTGTATGAAAATTTCCCTAGTTTTATTTATTTTATATATATTTTTATTCAAATTAAATTGGATTGTTAAATACTGTCAGACAGTACGAAATCAAAATTGTTTATATTTACAATTCCGCAAATACGGTTACGAGTAGAAATAGACTGCTGACGTTGCCAAAGAAAACTAATTTTGCATTATTAATAATAATAATTTGTACTGTTAACTTTCTAAGAAGCAAGCTGTAACTATATTTGTAACATTTGAAACCAAAAACAAAATCATGTGATTTTTCGATTTTCGTTGAAGGTGGTAATGTACATTAGAACTTAAAGCTTTTTTTCATTCAGTTTTTCTGATTGTTTTTTTCTCTCTCAACTATTAATAGTAAGTGATTTTTTTTTTATTGTTTTTCACTCTGGGCTATAAGGCGTTTTGTCTAGCATGTAATGTATTCACATTAATATACATTACAAATTTTCCGTTTTTTTTTTTCTTCTTCTTCTGAATGGAGCTTATTTTATATTCGATTTTAAAACACGATTTTTCATATAAAATTTTACTATAATTATTGTTTTTGTTGATTAACCATAGTAACATTTTTGAATAAAACAAAAGAATAATATTTTTTTATCATCTACATTTATTTATTTTAACTGTCTTAAAAAAGTTTTACAGTATACATAAACTTATCGAAAAAGTAGCCTGAAATTAAAAAAAAATGATTTTCGTGAAAAAAAAAGGTTCTTTTCAAGAAAGAATAATTTTTGTGGAGACATTAGTTAACAAAAACCTCCTTATAATGCTTTTTCTTTTCCTGTTTGTTTGAATTTTTTAATATTGGGAGTACAAATTAGTTCTGTCTGTTTTCTGTGACGTCAAAAATGCATTTATTTCAGAACAAAATTAATGAACAGATTAATCAAGGTATTCTCCATCGCTGGCTACTACTTTTCCCACTTCTCAGGCAATTTTCGAATTCCATCTCAAAAAAATGTCTCGTCTTTTGAGGGGATCCAAGTTAGGAGCCAATTTTCGATTTCTACTAAAGAAATGAACCGGTGACCTACCAAATTGTGCTGCATCCGTCGGAACAACCATTAATCAGAAGGAGCAATGTCCGGCGAATACGGCACGTGCGGTAAAATATCCCACTTTAGCGTTTCCAAATAATTCTTTGCGACAAAAGGCCGAGCGTTATTATACAGAAGAATAACTTTGTCGTGTCTTTGCTCGTATTTCGGCTGTATTCAATAAAGTAAAAAGCAGGGTTTTTGTATGAAACTCAAGGCGATATAAACTGAATATTATTGACAGATGTCTAACCTCTCTGAAACCAGCTGTCACTATGAAACATTCATAACAGCCAGAGCTATCTTTTGAAAACTGATCGAACTAACTTGTACTCACAATATTTATAAATATAATGAGCATTTTTAGCAACAATTTACTAATATTTTATAAATGAAATTTTTTTTTTGCTGATCAAATAATTTCATTGTTTGAAGCACAATACTAATATAATTTTGGGAAGAAGTTATTTTTAAAATTTGAAAAATAATGGGTTCATTTAGATCTTCTCTTGTTCTAACTGATTAAAACAGGGTATTAAAGCTATAGATTGTTACTTAAAATTATAGCTTCAGCAGAGATTGCTTAAGAAATGCTGATTGAGACATTCGCATTTCACAAAAACCTTTACCTTAAATAAAATAAATAAATAAAGTCGACTTAAGAACATAACTTTGATTTTCTCAAAAGAGGCTTGTTTTTATTGGTAAATATATGACTCTCATTGTAAATAAAAACATTAAATTTAATTGTTTCATTATTCAACGTGTTTTGAGTCTAATTTAGAAATGTGAATTATTTAAAATTTTATGCGCTTGTGACCCATAATATTAATTTCTTCTGAGACTGCTATTAACTGCAATCCCGAGAACTTCTAGTTTAATCCAATTTTTTTAAAAAAAAATGTAGCAACTTATATATTATTCATGTAGCTTTTGTTATACGTTGGATTAAAAAGAAAATTTTTATTATTATTTTAGTGCTGTTTTATTGAACTCAAAAATGTTCTAAAAGTAACGTTTTAACGTTTCCTTAATCATAAGCTATAAACATGCAATTGAATTTATTTTTATTATTGTACTATTTTTTTTAAATTTGTTTCTTCATTAAAATATCCGATTTGTTCTATGTCTTAAAATTAAAGACTAAAAACTGCAATAGTACATTACAGTGCAAGTGAAGAAACTGACGTGTGTCGGATTTGCGCAATGCTTATGAGATCCTATAGAACTTTCGTAAAGATTATGGGGTACCCACACCAAAGAGTTAAAGAAACCTTGCTTTAATTTATAAAGCGTTTGGTAAAATTATTTTTTCATTAAATTTTTTATGGTGCCTCTGAAAGAGAGGCCAACAAAACTGCCCTCTAAATTCCTGAATTGACGAAAAATGTTAACACAGTTGGACATTGGGGAAACAAATACTATCGTCAAGTCTTAAGACTCTTTTTTCTTTGAATTTAAAAAAAAAGTTTGGACTCTTATCTTCATATTTTCAATGAAAAATATGTTAAAGCTAGTTTCCAAATTTTAAACTAGTTATTGTTATGCAGTACAGTTCGAAAACATTTAATGTAACAAAAATAGAAACATCTTGAATCTCTAATTGTTTCATTCATGAATCTAGTTAAAATCTTTATTGATTTGCTAAATTAACTAATACCAAAACGAATCGTAAATTGCGCGTATTGTAGAGCTTTACAGGACTAGTATTACATTACAAATTGAAACGAATAGTGAGAATGAAAGGAAATTCTTGCACTTATTATTACTTATAAAACTCTTTTTGGAAAGATAATTTCATACGATAGCTCATTTTCATTCAAACTTTATAATTATTTGAATTTTATCGATATGTTGTTCTTTTAAGTCACGTATAACAGCGTAATTTCATGGTAGCAGACTAAAATTTCATCTGTTTAGCTGGGATCAAAGAAAGACAGTTTTAAAATACGGCTTTTCATTTGAAAACAAAAATATATCAATTAATTATTCTTAGGAACTATAAAATTGATTTATTTTCAAATTTGACGCATGTTTAATTTAAATATGTAGTGAATAATACTAATAATATACATTATACAGTGAATATAATTCTTTTCGATCATTTATCATATTAAATAATAACAAAAAATTTTGGCATTAAATCATATATGAGTAAATAAGTTTAACAATACGGCCATTTTTTTTTAAATTCAAACATTTATTTCCAGGTAGGGTAAACTAACCAGTGAAGGAACACTTAAGCTTCTCTTGTCTTTTAAAAAATCATATTAATTTCAAAATTCGTAATTTTAGTTAAATGACAATGTCAACATGTTTGTTACTAATTGCAAATTATGTAAAAAAACTGTAGAGAACTTACATAATATTGTTTTAAAGTTTTGGAGGTTCAAATAACAAGTAGTAAGAAGACCAAGTGAAGGAACAGCGCTTACCAGTGAAAGAACACAAAATTGCCCAGTAAAGGAACACTTAATTTTGGTTATTTTTTAATGCTCTTTATGAATTTATTAGTCATACAAATATATAAAAACAGGACTATTTATGAAATTATTACATACAAGTACTTGTAAAATGCTAACTTTTTTCTGTAATCATGAACTAGAAATTAAAGTGATGTTAAATACAAAAAAAAAAAAAAAAAAAATCATTCTTTCTTATAATTTGACAGTCAAATCTAAATCATTGTGTCATCCGATGCTGTTTATTATCATTAGTATTTTATCACCTTTTTGTTTACTCTTTTTCCTCTTATTTCTTGAAGCTTTTTTTCTTTTTTAAGTATTTTTTATTTCTTTTTCTTCTCCATGTTCTCTTGTTTTAACTTTCTCTTGTTTTAACCTTTCTTTTTATCATCAATATTTGGCCAATGTAAATGGTTCTTCCAACATTTCTAGAATGCCTTTCTCAAAAATAGATGGGGGAAAGGTGTCTTGAAGTTTGAGGAAAATCCATCTCTTGTTGACTTATATCTAATCTAGAGAATCTTTGGAAGTACTGATTTTACTTATAGAATCATTTCTTTTTTCAACTAAGAGAAGATCAGCATGAGGACTCATTTCATATTCGATATCTAAGATGCATTCATTATCGATACTAGCTTCAGTTCCAAAGTTTGACTTAACCAAGTGGTCTTCTTTTAATACGTACTTCTTCCATATTGAAAAAAGTACAGGACATTTTCGATATTAGACTCTTCAGTCAATGCTGCGTTAAAAATTTGCTACATATCTTGAGGGATTTTCCCTCTCAAGCCTCTGAAGAAATTGAGTATCGTTTCTGTTTAACTCTGTTTTTTGTTGAGGAGCTTGCTTCTAAATTCTAACATTGTAAAGTAGTTTTTATAAATTATATAATCACGTTGCTATCCTATAATGATAACTTATTAGGAGTTCTTGGTGCAAAAGCCAGCGAAAAAATTTTCTATTCAAATTTTTATGATTATATTTAATTAGTTTTCGATTTGTAAACATAGTTTATTAAGTTGCCTAACATTTGATGTAACTACACACCCCATTAATAAATATAAATTATAATTTTTTCATAAATTAAGCTATTAAATTAACATTTTGAACTGAAATTATTTCAGGAATTATTCATACAATTTTTAACAAAATTTCGGTTGTCCTCTATATAGCAGAATTACTTATCCTAGAGTCATGTAAAATCATATTTCACACATTACTGTTCATTCACTGGAAGTATTCCCAGTGAAGGAACATGCCTGTTTCTTCACTGGTTAGAAGTTGTTTTTTGTCTTTTAAACAGAATTTTGATGTATAATATGACTAAAAGTACAAGAAAATTAAAAAATTTCTTTTATTTTCATTAACTGGGAGAAAAACCCAGTAAAGGAACACTTGTTCCTTCACTGGTTTTTCATCGTTTGGTGATCCAGTGAATAAACACCCCCTTATCTCAGTACTTGATTATGCTATGGTGCTTTAAAAAAAATAAAACGTAACTTCAATAACTATATTTTGAATTCTCTTTTTCACAGTGAGAAAAATAAGACTATTACATGCAATTAATTCCACTTCAAACATATAAGTACAAACACTCACCTTATAATTTTTTCAACGAAACAAGGTGTTGCAGAGATAATAACAAATTCAAAAATTTTTTCAGAGAAATCTATTTGACCAGGTAATCCAAAATATTGCTAGATGACTTCCTATTGTTTGGCAGTAAGCTATTGTTACCAATCAATCTAAAGAAAAACTTTCAAATTCTTATTTTTAATGAATATATATGAAATGTTCCTTCACTGGGTAGTGTTCCTTCACTGGTTGGTTTACCCTATATAACTGAAAACATAAAGTAAAATGTATTAAGAGGTTCAAGCTTCGGATCACGCCTCAATCTGAATTATTGAAATGTATTTTAATCATCTTTATTGAATTTTCCCATATAAACAATTAATTGAAATATCTTTGAAAATATTTAAAATATGAGGTAGTCATCAGGTCAGAAAAGTTCTACGCATCATTACTGAAAAAAAAATATTTTTTTTTTATTTTCTCCGTATATTTGAAGATTTAAAAGCTGTCTTGTTGACAAAACAGTTTTTCCTCTTTAATTATAAACGGATTAAAACTGTCAGTTTAAATTCTAGTTTCTGCCATAAAGTTTTGCTTTCCGTACGATAACTTTCCTTTCGTCAAATCATTTTGCGATTATTTATATATATATGCTTTCGATTCTTGCTCTTATGTTTCAGTGTTTAGCAATTACTTTATGGGTTTGAGAATCGAATAAATATAACTGCGATTCACCTTTTTTTTGACAAATTAATGCAATCTTGCAACGAAATTCTCACTATCGGTGACAAAACAGCAGTTTGCCGGCTTACTCAAATAGACTCGAAACCCGATTCCCTAGAAAGAACCTGGACAAATTTCTTTATCATTATAAACATTGTTTACTGAATGTTTTTACTTAAAAATTTTATTTTCAACATTCTGTGTGCCAACCAAGTTTATAAACTCCGATATTTTTTATAAGGGTTCGCAACTATAGTTTTGAACGCTTTTACACTTAAATATTTTTTAAATGTGTAAGAAATTTTAGGTAAAGGCAATTTCAGACTTTTCTTCATGATAAAAATACCAGAGCCGCGTTGGCTCAAGGGATAGAGCGTTCGCCTTCCTATGAGGTGAACCGAGTTCGAATCCCACGATGGCTGGTCGATACGAATCCGCATTCGGCTTGCGACGACCGCAGTGCTGACATGAAATATCCTCCGTGGCAAACGGATCGTGCGTTAGAGTCCCTTTGCCGTCAGGCTAAGCATAGGAAGTTCTCGTGGTCTTCTTCTCCATGTAACGTAAATGCTGGTTAGTTCTATGAAAAAGTCCTCCACGAAGGCAAAATTTCTCTCCACACTTGATCCAGGAGTTCCCTTGTCTTCTGGATTGGGTTTAAAATTACAAGACTACGGAACATTAGTAGTAAACCTAAAAATTGGATCGGCTGTTCAACGACGGTTATAAAATACTAAAGCTTTGGTGTGAATGCTTTATTTTGATTTGGTGGAAATACAGTCTGACAACGGATATTTTATTCGTTATTTTTATGGAGAAAACTTGTTCTGGTAAAGTAAAAATCTTAGAGGCTTCGATTTAACACAAGCAAGCGAGCAGTTGGTTAAAATCGTAAATTTTACGATATTTTATGATTTCGTTGGATACTGTAAGTCTCAAATACTGACAGTCACATATAAATAACTATAAGCGATATTTAAATTTTAGAAAATAATTAAATCAGTTACTGAACATGGAAAAATTGTAATAACTGCCATTGTATAATTTTTAAAACTGTACAACTGATAAATTATCATCAGTTTTACATATTTAAAAAAAAACACTTTTAAAATTTTTTATAATAAAAATTTCCAATTTATCTAGGAAACTTATGGCCAGTAATGGTCATTAGATACTCGTGTGAGATATATTAGAAATAAGCAAAGTTTTAAATTATAATTTCTCAAAACTAAATGTTTTAATTTTGCTCATGTTATTACTGACGAAGCAGTGAATCAATTTGAGGTTAATTTCATATGGTTTCAGAAATAGGGAATTTGGGGTTTTCAGAGAGGAAAATACTCTAATCCATGTTTAAAAAGTTTTTGATTTGTAAAAGGTTAGCACTTACAGGGTTCGTTCAATTCTGAAAATATTCAAAAAATATGACAGTAAAATTACGAAAACCATCTGTATTTTTAAGTGTTCGTAATCAACACAATGCTTAATATTTCCAAATAAATTTAGTTGCCAAATAGAAGTATCTAGCTTTTAATTTTAAAGTGGAAGCTAGTAAAAAAATTGTAACTTCTTTTTTAATTTACGGAACTTTTATTTAGTAAGACCATGGAGAAATTAAGAAAAGTAAACTGTTTTAGAATTTCAAGTTTATTTAATGTCACAAAAACATTATAAAACAATATTCAATAAACTTACAAGAGAAAATAATGTATGTAATAAAACATCTATTGATACGAAAAAAAAATCAGTGTTCCAATACAATTAAATTTTACACGCATTATTTATGCAAACATTTCATACACATTAACATATTATGTGACACTAAAGAAATAAAATGTAGAATATGAGAAACTCAAACTTATAGGAGATCATCATATAATTCAAAATGCTTAAACTTTTCATTTGAACAAACAAGTCAGTTGCAATATACAATTGATCTACCATACATTTAATACTGTTTAGTTTTATGAGCTATTACAAAGAAATAGTATAGCAAACAAAGTAGTTCCATAATCAATAATTGGCACACTGCAACAATATTTTGAAAAGATAGCAGTATCAGAATATCAAAATATATTCACACATCGATGTTCAAAGTGTTCCAGAGAAATTAAACAAACAAACTAGAAGCAAATACTAGTTACCTTCACAATTGCCAATTTTCCATTGAAACTAGAACTAAACTAAATGCAATTTACAATTGATCTATCATACATTTGATACTGCTTAGTTTTATAAGATCCAACCTATTACAAAGAGATAGTATAGCTAACAAAGCGATTCATAATTAGTGATTTACACACTGCTTTAATATTTCTAAAAGGCAGCTGTAAAATAATTTCAAAATATATTTTTGAATTGATGTTTAAAATATTCTAGAGAATAAGACCAAGCTATTTCTTTAACGTATTTTGTTATTATCATGAATTGTAATGTTTAGGGCTTAATATGTCAAATAAGTATTAAACTGAAAATCTCGTTTACATTAGAATAATATATCTTACTAATTAAAACTTTTTTTTTAACCGTTTATATATCAATCAGAATTTTAGCACCTGAGAAAGCTTTTCACCAGGGACTAGTAGCCGAAAAATTTCCAATGCACGATCTCAGCTAAGTTTTAGACAATTTTACAATATATTTATCAAGCTTTTGAGTTTCAGCTTATAGTTTGAAATTTTAATAAAAAAATAATATTAATTAATATAAAAAGGAACATTGCATTTACAGTGAAACCTCGGTTAACCGGACATTCTAAGGACCGAAAGAATTTCCCGTTTACGGTAAGGGTACCTCAATAATGGATTTAACACCGTAAATTGTTTTTAGAATAATTTTAAAGATATAGTAATAATTAAATAATCAACAATAACTATCCACGTGGATATTTATTTAAATTTAAAAAAAATATTTTTTCGATAAAAAGAATACATAAATACGTAATTCTAGATGTAGCTTCAGATAAATGAATATAATTTTCTTATTAGCACAAGTATTTAAGTTCAGACATATGATACCGAATATGAGCTTTTAGTCCTCAGTGGGTTTCAATTATTAGGTTAATATCATACCTACCTTTCACTTGATAGGAAACATTGTTAACACCTCCTTGAAAGTAAACCTCCTATGATACACAGAAGAAAAAAAAGTAATGCATACCTGTAAGTCATGAGGACCTATGGAATTGATTCTTTAATAGTGAAATAGCTTAACAATATTTTTAGTTATGGATAAGGCAAAAAATTTACATGCTTTAAAAATGGTTAAAAGTTGCATATTTTGTTTCTCGCAATTTAAAGCAGAAATATTATTTCTTTTTCAAACTTACAAAAAGTAGAGAAAATAAAAGAGATAGAAAATAAAGTTTAAAGAGATAGAAAATAAAGTTTCAGGGCAAAAATGACTGACCGCGTGTGGGTGTCATTTTTGTGGAGAATGTACATAACGGTTTATTCATAGAAGAATCCCGGGGAATTAAAAATATGTCCGAATTGAGAGGTGTCCGTTTTGCAGGTGTGTCCATAATAGGAGATTTCACTGTAATTGTAAAAAGAAATTTTTGATAATTGCATGATTAGTATCTCATAATTATTAGATATTTGAATCAAAATGAATGCTGTATAACCCGATTTAAAACAAAATTACATAAGATATATCAGCCAAGGCACAAATTATCTGCATTTGTAGAATCATCCAGAAATTAAAAACGCAAAAATCTTTAATATTTTTGTTTTTTTTATTTTAAGCTCGAAACATTTAAAAAGTTGGAAAAAAAATAATTATTAAGAGTCAGTTTTCCGATCAGTTATTGACGTTGAAGAAATTTTCAGTTTTTGCTACTTTCAAATCACGCCAAATGTACATCACACGTTTTCTTGGTTCTACTCATTAATATGCATTCGCAGAAATATATACTCATTGTTGGCATAAGTAGATTTTTTGACTGTCAAAAATTAAGAAAACAGCTTTATTTCGAAGATTTTTGAATGACTTTTGACCTTCGATGCAAAGGTCCATTGGTGTTAGTGTGAAAGTAGTAGAAGACAAAATAATGGACAATGTCATGGTTCACTCATTTCACAAAAAGCATTGCCACATGTAAATAGATGTCTTTTTTTTTTTCAAAATTCATGAGAATCTTCAGTTTTGACCCCTAAATCCTTAAGAAAAATTTTCTCCTCGGAAAAATAAAAAATAATGAAAACTCGCGTTATATAGTTTTAACATGTCAAGTATGTAATCCTGCCTGATTCTTAGGAAACTGACTCTTATAAAACTAAAAGAGCTCTGGAGCATGGGAAATTTTAGAGCTCCTGGTAAAATGCATCTCCGTTTCCCTACTAATCACGTGATATATAAACATTTATTATAAATAAAAATACATCTTAATACAAAAATTCGCATCAAAAATTGTAGTTTTAGTTTTAATAGGAAATCTGACATACTTAAATAGCTGTTCAGTCTATGTTAAGATAATTTTTCCGTGAAATTACTGAATTGAGTTGAAAAGTGTTCTTGTTTGCTCATTTCATCAAAAAAAAAATAATAGTGTGACACAGTGACAATATTAAAGTAGAACTTGAGGATCATGACAAAAAGAAACAATATGACGGCTCCGAAGGGAAAACATGAAAGAATTATCCACTTCTTTTGGCTTCTCGGGCCTAGAACAACACTAGTCGGATTCCAAATCATCGATCTAGATAAAAAATAAATTTTAATTAAAAAAATTTTAAATTTAAAACCAGATAAGACAAACAATAAATGTAGTATCATGGGGGAAAAATGAGTGAAAATATCAAAGGTCTTTTATTGACTATTTATTTGTAACAGTTCGAGTTAACATATCTTATATACTAATGAATTAGAATTATATTTTTGTAGTGGTAGATACACTACAGAGCTTTTCATCAGTTAAAGGGACTCTTTCCTAGCACGGAAGACTTAAATAAGTGCCTCTGCATTAGTGCAAAAAGGCGCTAACCACTTGGAAATCAATTAATTTTATTTATTATTTTATATTTTAGTTTATAACGGTCGTTGAACAGTCGACCCAATTTTTGGGTTTACGACTACAACTTGTCATTTTACTTGTCATTTTGAACCCAATCCAGAAGACAAGGGAACTCCTTGATCGAGTATTGGGAGAAATTTGCCTTCGTGAATGACTTTTCGATGGAGCTAACCCGCATCTACGCTACGTAGAGAGGAAGACCACGAGAACCTCCCACGGTTAGCCTGACGGCAAGGGGACTCTAGCCCATGATCCATCTATCACTGAGGATATTTCACGTTATCACTGTGGTCGGTGCAAGCCGGATGCGGAATTCGTTTCGACTAGAAATCGCTGGGATCGAGCCCTGGTTCACCTCATTGGTTAACTTATCATTACTTCATTTTGTTAACTTATTTATTTTTAATGAAGTTATATTGAAAATTGATTGTCCGGGTTTTGTTGCCGCATTATCTATAGAAAAGATGAATGATTGTTTTGGAATTGCTTATTTCTCAAAATAAACTCAAAAATTATACAAGCTAAATAATATTTCAAAGAAAAATTTAATTAAGATAACACCAAAAGACTGAATATTAAAATTTAAAAATGATCAAAATAAAGCTTAATATATTAATGAGGAGATTTAAATTGAAATTAAAAATTATAGAATTCAAACGTAGGATAAAACATTTAAGATTAAAATGGTAAAAAAGTTGAAGATTTTGACTAAAATGTGTTAATTTAATGTTTGATAAGAGCTTATTATTAAAAAAGCAAAACATGGACAGTTTACCAAATTATTAAAAACCAGTTAGAAACTACTTACAGCAACACGATTTTGAAAAATCTTGTCAGCTTCATGATCTTCAGTAGTTAGGTAGGAAAAGGAATTATACTGAAATAGTAATATAATATAATTTATAAATTAAATTACAAAACTGAATTAAATTGACATCATTCAAAATTTATAGTAAATTAGTTTAGCTGTCCAATTTAAACAAAACTCATTGTAATTATTGAAAAAAAGTATTGGTTTAAGTTCCAATTCAAGCAGTCCACAAAAAATTATGATTTAAAAAGTTCATTACATTGAAAAAAAATCTCATTTACAGGGATGAGATTGGTCAAAAGGTAAAAAAGCTGAATTTTAAACATACACATATTCTCATCCAGTTTCGCTGATGTTGTAATGTCTATGTATACCAACAATCGTCGATAGAAAAACTGTCACCTTTACAGTAACTAATTCAAGAAAAAAAACTTACTTCTTACACGAATCGCGATAAAGGATTTTGAAAATTACGGAAATGCAAATAGCGATCTCGGATTTTAAAATCACGTGAATCTGTGTGGAATCACGATATTGAATTTTGAAATCGAATGAATATGAAACTCGATATTGGATTTCAAAAATATAAAAATACAAATCATGATGCGTAATTTTCAGATAGCGCAAATACAAATCACGATGCATAATTTCTAAATCGCGTGAATACAAATAGCTAGTACATAGATTTTAAAAACGAGTAAATACAGATCTCGATATTGGATTTTTAATAAGAATTGCAATGTATGTTATTGAAATCGCGTGAATAAGAATCATAAGGCTCAACTTTTAAATCAGGTTAATACGAAAATCGATGTTTGATATTAAAATACGAGCTATCTAGTGGACTGGTGAAAATGCAAAAAATCTTATTGTCCGCGTGGAAAAGCGGAGAAAATCGCTAAAATAAGTAAAAATGCAAAAAGGGTTGGCAGCTAAGTAATGTGAATTTTCTGTTCATCTTTGAAAATCAGAAATAATAATTTTATTTCAACGGCTAAATTTTCATAAAAAAACGGAATATTTATTAAAAATTTCTTTTAAACAGAAACGGAAATTTTAGAGAATCGGAGTTTTTGACAAAAAGGCTGAAATTCGAGAGACAAAAACGAAAAAAGCGGAAATCCGCTAAAAAATCTCATTCCTGCATTTAAAACAGTTATAATTTAAGTTAAGATTGTTATTTATTGGAAGCAAGACAGCCAATTTGTTTCAAAGTTTGGCATTTAAAAATTACATAAATTATATGGTATGAAAATACTAATATAATGCAAAAATTGTATTAGTATTTTTAAAAATTTTTTACCATTATATTACCAATATTTATTACCATTATTTGAGTAGTTAAAATATAGAAATAATTAGTAAAAAATATTTAATGATTGAAAATATCTTTTATTAAGAAAGTTTAATAAGTGTGGGCAAAATTCGTTGCTTTTTCCACTGAAAAGAAGGGGATGTTACGTTTTATAAGATAAAATTGAAAAATAATTTTAGTTGATAAAATTATTTTAAGTACAAACAATATGGAAACCTCGGAGAAAAGTCCTACGCATGGCCTCGCAATAAGTAAGGTCTGATAGTTTGTTGTTGTTGTTGACGTATGACATTAAGGCAGTATTGTTCTTGTTCTCTAGTGGCGCCATCTATGGCCAAGAATTCGACTTCTTGCCACTTCCGTTTATAGAGTGGACCCATTCATACATCCACAGATCGTAATTTTGACCTGAATCAGAGAACCATCAGTCTCCAATTCAGTACCCCCAGAGGTTTTGATTTGTTATGGGAACATGGAGGACTTTGAGACTCGACAGATTTAACGTGCGTCAGTCACCATTTACTACACGGGGAGTCTTCGGCCGCAGGGATCGAGCCCACGACCATTTGGACGTGGGCGCAGTGCCCTACCAACCAGGCTATCCCGGCCCGTCTGATAGTTTAAATGGCGGGAAAAAGCAAATTAAAGTGACTAAAACAGAATTATGATGATAATGCGAATCAGCTGCAATGGCTCAGTGGTTAAGGTGCTGAGTGTTTTGTGAAGAACTTTAGGGGGGGGAGTGTTTTCTGAAGAACAAGGGGAGGGAGAATTTTCGGAAGAACTGACGATCCGTAGCGGCGGTTTGAAACCCACCCAACCTCATGTTGACAAGTCCCAGCTTGTCTGGAAGTTTGGTACGCATTTTAGACCCTATTGCCACCGGTATGCTGTTGGTTACGAAATTGGGGAGCCTTGATTTCCGTGACCTCCTTAAACACAATAGAATGCAGCGAAAATGCTTTACTTTTTGATAATAAAATGAAAAATTTAGTTCTTATTTTCATTAGATAAAAAAGTAATTCTTCCAATCACGCAATTGAGAGAGCCGCGATGGCTCAGGGAGTTGAGCGTTTGCCTCCCTATGAGGTGATCCAGGTTTGAATCTTAGCGACGATAGGTTGATACGCATTGTGCTCCCAGATTCGCACCGACCACATTGCTGGCATAAAATATCCTCAATGGTCGATGGATCATGGGTTAGAATCCTCTTGCCGTAGGCTTAACCACTGAAGGATTTCGTGGCTTACGTCTCCAAGTAACGCAAATGCGGGTTAGTTTCATCAAAAAGTCCTCTACGAAGGCTAGTTTGTCCCCATGTTTGATCCAGGAGTTCCCTTGTATTATGGGTTGAGTTTAAAAGTTTAAGGCTACATAGTTGAACATTGATAGTCACAAACTCAGAATTGGGTCAACACCTGTTATAAAACAGAATATAAATTAATAAATTAGCATAGGATTATTGATTTACTGGGCAATTTGTAATAAGATAATTAGTACTTGAAATAACTATCATCTATAAGGATTAGACATTTTAAAGAAATATGCATAGAACCATATATTTACTTATAAAACATTAAAAAATGCATAACAATCGTGTGGCTCAACATACCTACTTGTCCACAAAAATTGAGGAAAATATAAACTTTATGGAATACTATCTTATACACTAATTCAACAACATAACCCGGGTCATCAATGGCTCGACAGCCCAGGGTGGGCCCTGGCCTTCTCAAGAAGTTTTTTCCAGGCTAATTTATGAGTTTTCCAGTTTATTAGACCTAAGGGAGGATCTTTTTCTAGACCATCTATCCTTTTCAAATTCGGCCTGCCTCTTTTTCGTATGTGTCCCATTTTATTCTTTGTCGTTTATTAAAGTTAATAATGTCAGGATCATTATATGAGCGATAAAGCTCTAGATTTGATCTTCTAAGCCACGCACATTGTTTTTGAATTTCTCCAAAAATACATCTTAAGACCTTTCTCTCAAAGAATACCCAACATAGCCTCATCCGTACAAGATATGGTCCAGGTTTCACAAGCAGATGTTAAAATTTATCTTAAAAGAGATTTATATAATAAAACTTTTGTTTTTCTATGAATTACATTAGATTTTAACGTAACCCAGGTATCTCTGGTAAATAATTTTTATTTTGTAGAGGAATGGATTTTACAATTTTTGAGGTTAAAATCATAAAACAGTAATAAATTTTTTTATGACAAATGGTAATAAGATCAAAAAGTTTACTACATACACTATTTAATGTTTATATGAATTTACATAAAGCCATTCCTAAAATACTTACAGCTTTTAAAAGCTTCTTTTTATTTGCTTCGACATTTTCTTTCTGCTCTTCGATCTTTTTCTAAAAAATTAAAATAATATTTATAATTCATTTCATTCAATTGACACTTTAGTCCAACCTTTATTGTATTGTTTAATCCTCTATCACCACATTTAGCACATATTTATACAATGCTCGTCAAAAATAAAGTCTATGTGGTAGAAGTCAGAAATAAATATTTAAATGAGGAATATATCGTAATTCTTTAAATCAAGCTGTGATAGTTAACCACTAGGTTCTAACAACTTCATTTTGACAATGATTATTAACCCGTTGACTTATGATCAAATTTCAACGAGTTTCACAATGGAGGCTTTTTTCTTCTGAGTTATAAGCACGCCTCATATATCATCACGCCTCAAACGATTTTCATGACAAAAAATGTCGTTATGCTCATTGCAGTCAGGGCTAAAGAGAATAAGGGCTGGTTCACTCCTTTGAAGAAACTCCAGCCGCGCCAAACACCTCCGATTTTCCCCTGTGACCTCACGGCTGGGCAAAGCTTGAACTTTTACTTCTAACTAGCTCTAACTTAAACGCTTGATAATTGCAAATAAGCTACCTAATCTTTCGTCAAAAGTACGCATAGAAATAAAAATTTAGAAATAGGTTGTTACTTAACTGCGGAATTGTTCGAAAAAGCAATTAAAAAATACACAACAGAAAATATAGTTTCCAAAAATAATGATATTCTAGACAACATTGAAGATATAATACATGACTTAACTAACTCCATTCTTATGTCTTGGGATATTGACCTTAATTTGATAAACAAAATGATCAATTCACAAGAAAAAGTTGGACTGAATTATATTGCTGGATACATACTGCTGGTAGCCTTTAAAATGTTGATTCAAAATTAGAAATAACATCTTCTCAGTACATCCAACAACAGGGGAGCAATACGGAATGGATAAAATTTTCTATAGCAGGATTAATTGTTCGGTCAGCAGCATGGATGGAAGTGTGTCATCAAAGAATTTATAAGGATCGATATCCCGTAGTAAATAAAAAAGCAATACTCTTATTTTGTCGTCTAAGAACTTTTATAAGAATTCGTCATCTAAATAGAAACCGCCTCGTTACATCAAAAAGAAAGGCATGCGAAAAAATTAAAAAATGGATAAAGTCAAAGAAAATAAAAACTTAAATGAAAACTATAAATAATTAATAGTTAAAATACTCCTGACTTCCTAACATAGTTTCTAATGTAGTTATTCTAAATATTTGTGATTTTTTTAAAAATTATATTATCTTAAATTTAAATATCTATAAACAATTGTAAAATTTCTAATATTATTATGAACCTAAATTATTATTTTGTTTTAGTAATTAGCGTTAAGGTTGTTGTTTCTTAATGATTACGTATAAACAAATTACCATTAACGGCATATTTTAAAATCAGGATTGTAAATTTAACCCAACTTTACAAGTTATTGATATTGAGCAATATGTAGCTATAAGGTTTTGATGTATGCTTTAATTTTTTTTAATAATAAAAATTAAAACTGAAAATTCTAAAATAAAGTATTTATAGCGTCATTTACGACGACTAGTAAAATATTTTTATTAGTTTAAATGGTATTTATTTTATAATTATGCCAAGAAAATTTCTTTTGAATTATGCTTTTGAACGGAAATAATGTTTTAATTGTGTAAAGTTTGAAAGCGAATATCATGAAAAAGTCGAACTTTTCTTACAGAGAGAATGATGCAAAGTTTTCATAATATCTATGCTTGCGATCTCCTAGATGTGTGTGCGGCGTGACGTCATAAGAAGGGAAAGCTCTGAGAAAGGAATGAACTATCCCTTAGCTCTTTCTAGGGGGGGACAATGGGATGCTCACTTAGGCATCTGAAAACCCTTATTTTGACAGCTGAAGTATTGGGGAAACCTACAATGAACCTCGAATAACAACAAAGCTTGGGGCAAATATTTACAGAGAAAGCGATGTACTAAAAAAAAAGTACACTGTTAAAAGGCTTCACCCAATTCCAGTTGTCCATTCTTTCTTTGCAAAGCTGTGCCAGTTAACCTCCTTTCATTAAAGGTTACACCCGTCTCTCGAAACCTTTGAAAAACTATTGAATTATTGCTTGATGACGCCACAATAATTATGCACCTTAAAACCTTTAATAATTTTAAATAATTACTGATGTACAATTTCATTAAAAAGTTTTTGCATTATTTCTGATACAACTCCATGCTTCCAAAATTATTTCTCTCGTAAAATTCGAGAAAAAAAGGAGGGGGGGAGGTAATTGCTCGCCAAAGGAATGCGTTCTTAATATACTTACAGGGATGCCAACTGCTCCGCTTTCTGGAGTAGTCTTAATAAAGTGGTAGGAAATTATATAGTAATATTCGTTAAAGAAAGATAGTTACACCTACTTTTTAATAGAGTAAGCAGTAGATTGATGAGTTAAGGTTGCATTTAATATGATACTTATAATTTTTGGTAATTAGTGGTGAAAACATTACTTAAAATGAAAAATACTAAACTAAAATTAACTCAAATTTCGCTACCACTCGAAAATACTATTTTACAAAGCGGAGCAAGTTGGCATCCCTGTACTTATAACATTGTCTTAACAATTTCATTATTCTATTGTTAATGAATAATGAAATTGTTAAGACAATGTTAAGACAATAATTAATTGTTAAGACAATAAATTGTCGTTAAATGTGGTCTCGTTATGAGTGAATTATGGGAACATTGAGGATTTTGTGACCCGACAAATTTAACGTGCATCCAGTCAACTAGGAGTCCTCGGCCGGCTGCATTTGAACTCCCATTCTCACGAAAATGAGTCCGTCACTCTGCCAACCAGTACCAGGCTATCCCGGCCTATTTTTCTTATTTTAAATTTCCTGATTTTCAGATTATGATGTGTCATTATGTTTAGCATAACTCTTAAATTATGCATGAAAAGTTTTTTATTTTTATTTGACTGATTACGATGGATATTTGTCATAGCACGTTTAAGCACCTTCTACTATTTTACAACTGATACATATGAGAGAATAATTAAAAAATTTATTTCTATCTATTAATACTAGTTGATGATTGGTAAAATCTAACCGTTATTTTTTGTAAATAAGATGAATGGCACCTTGTGTCAAGAATTCCAATTAATAAGATTTTGATAATTAAAACTCTGATGCAATTTCACTAATTTTTATAACATTAGATTATCCTTCTGCCATAGATCACCGGTGTCCCTTTTATATATTTTTAAAAATATGTTTTGTTATTTTTTAACTATAAAATTCAATCTAATTGTAACTAAAAAACTGTTATATTATCTGAATAACATTTGAACTAAAATTTAAAAGTCAAAAAAAGTAGTTTGAAATTTTTTTTATTTTATTCATATTCAAAAAGGTATCAATAATTGCTTTTATAAATTAAAGAAATTTCAAAGATGAATAACTGTTTCTCTTAGACATAAATAAGTACAAATTTTAAAAAATTAGTGTTTGGAAGATTTTAACTTTAAAGCAGAACACCTATGTCTCATGCTGTATTTCATAACTATAAATTGTTAAAATGCTAAATGCAATATTTTTCATTTATTTTGACCTATAATAATGCAAAATAATGAGAGAAAAAAGTATGAAAAATATGCGTAATTAAAAATTCAGCGTCAAAGTTTTAAGAAATCTCTCTGCTCATCGGCATCATATACAGTACTTGGCCATATTATTAAACGCACTATAAGAGTCTATGTAAAATCTTAATTATCAGGTGATACTATACAGCTTTATTGTTTTTACGCAGCTGAAACCCGTTTGCACTTGTTTACATTCGCTTATCAATTGATTAATATTGTAATGCAATACGTTCAAAATAAATACAAATAAGAAGTATATAAAAAATCTCTATATACTTCTTACTATATACTAAATCTAAACCCATTACATGTATGTTTAAATATAAAAGTATCGCCTATAACCTCTTGCAAAACATGTAATTACTAAAAAACTACAGTGCTGTTTATAATTTGATCTAGTTATAAAAATAAAATAATATAATATCTGATATAATAAATATTCTATATTTATATAATATATCGTCTCATTTATGTTATATATCGCCTAATTTAACCAATTATTACACGAATATAAACAAGAGCAAACCGGTTTCAGCCGCGTAAAAACAATAAAGCTGTATAGTATCATCTGATAATTATAATTTTACATAGAATCTTATAGTGCGTCTAATAATATGGCCAGAGACTGTATATCTTTTTTGGATATTTGTACTTTTTGCCTTGCTATTTGAAGCAAAAAAAAAAAAAAGGCTGAAAAATAAATTAGAGAACCACCTATAGATTTCTACTTTTTTTTTTTAGAAAGAATCGAATTTTAAGCAAATTAGAAAAGTTATTTTCGAAAAAAAAAAATTCGAAATGTCGGCATAATATACTAAAATTTGCCTTAAATAGAGAAAAGAATTAAAGAAAAAAACTTACTTTGAAGTTTTCATACATTCTCTCTCGTTGTTTCTGAGCCATGAATCGAAAAGCAGCGGTTTCAATTTTGGGAGGTTGTTTCAGGAGACGGCAAAAAATTTTAGTTACATCAGGATTCTTTCTTGGCTCGCTGGTGTCACTTGTTGAACATCCAGCAGCCTCATTCAATTCTTCCTCTACACTTTCTTCATCTTCAGAGGATGCTGGTTCATAAATTATATTTATTAGTTCATCATCTGCTTTAAAATAAGTCATTATTCTACGCAATAACAAATTATTTTCATTAAATTAAAGAATAGCCATTGGTTTAACAACCAGTAACAGACATGTAATTTAAAGCAAGACTCTTTGTGAATGAAATAAGCGCTTCGGTAAATCTTGCTCTGCCCCCATCAGCACTGAGGTTCTAAAAGTCACGGGCATTATACAAATATAAAGCTTATTCATTTAAGAATGACTCAAGATGTGTGGCCATATTATTAGACGCAGGTGATTGTTTTTACTCGAATGAAACTCCTGTATCAATTGGTTACGTTAAAAATTAAAAAGTATGTTTCATATAATTATTAATCTAATAATTGGATCTAATTATAATGCTTGATATAATGAATATTTCTATCGTCTCATTTAACCCATTGATACACTAACGTAAACAAACCGGTTTCAGTCACGTGAAAACAGTAAAGCTGTATAGTATCACCTGATAATTAATATTTTACATTGAATCTTATAGTGTGTCTAATAATTTAGCCAGGGATCTTCAGTAAGAAGAGTGTGCTAAGAATACCTAATATCAGGCATAATCTGCCAGCATGGACCGCCAGCACTTAATGATCGAGAAGTGAAATGGACGTGTCCGTTAGAACAGTGCGGTTGCACGAGACGATTTTGTTTAACATGGTAAAAAAAAGTAAACTAAGAGATATAACATAATTTAGGTGACAGACAAAAGCCAAAGAACGCACAAATTAGAAAGAAATTAGCTAACAAATAAATTAAATAAAGGAACGTCGTTAAAGTTAAAACACAACAATGTGTAGTTACAATGCAACTAATTATAGCAGCGAGCGAAGTTTATCGCAGTAATTGCAATAAAGAAAGATTCCACTTAATAAGAATCTAGAAAATTATTTCGAAACATTTTTGAAGACTATTCTTAGAAGTGTATAATCATTAATGACTCACGAATAAGTAAGTCATCATTTTATAGGCACATTTCATTCCACACAAGATAACAACAAAACGTACTTTCGTTCTCTTCACATTCCATGTCACTGGATTCTTCTCCTGCAGATTTCTTGTAGCTAAAAAAACAAACAAATAAATCTTTTTAGCTGTGCTTAGACAAAATTTAAATTATTCCAATTAACCACACCAACCTACAGTCCTTGGACAAACTATTAAACGCACTGCAAGATTCTATGTAAAATCTTAATTATCAAGTGATACTCTAAAATTTTAGTGTTTTTACGCTGACGAACCGGTTTACACTTGTTTATGTTCGCGTATTAGTTGGTTAACATTGTAATGCAATACGTTAAAAATGAATACTAATGGGAAGTATATGAAAAATATCCTCCATAAAAATATATTGAATATAAAAGTATTGCATATAAACTTGTGCAAAACATGCAATTATTAAAACATTACAGAATAATTTGGTCTAATTATTATAATATACTAATATAATACCAGGGGTCTGTTTAGAAGAAATTTGGGTCCGTTCACAAAATATCTTTTCATAGAAACGGACCCTTCACAAAATATTTTAACTTAAAAGCGGACTCTTCACAAAATATTTTAACTTAAAAACGGACCCTCCACAAAATTATTTTTCTTTTAATCGGATAAGATAAATTTGTTTATCTTCATTGTTATTTTGTTAATCGAATAAACCCTTTCCAGCGCAGAAAACAAGAGAGATGGATGTAAACGAATTAAGTTTTGTCTTCGGCAGACGATTCTTTCATTATTCGTCCGAAATGAATATTCTGCGTTCAGCAGTATAGGCTAAATACCAACTATTTATATGTTGTATCTCTAGTTTAAAAGCAGCAATTGTTGTTTATTTTTTAAAATTTGATTTTTTTGATTATAATTTTGCAGTGTTCAGCATAATCTTGTATGTCTTTATAATTTAAAAACTCTTTGAAAAAAATATTTTTTTTGCAATAACGGACCCTGTTTGCACAAATTCATAAAAACGGACCCTGGTTGAAAGAATGTGAGTAATTTTTTCACAATTTCACGAAAAACGGACCTTTCACAAAATGTCTGGACAGACCCCTGAATACCTGATATAGTTAATATTCTATATTTATATAATATATCGTCTTATTTACCTAATTGTCAAATTTATATTGTATATCGCGTAATTTCACCAATTTATACACGAACGTAAACAAGTACAAACCGGTTTCAGTCGCTTCAACACAATAAAGCTGAATATTATCACCTGATAATTAAGATTTTACATAGAATCTTATAGTGCGTCTAATAATTTGACCAGGGNAAAAAAAAAAAAAAAAAAAAAAAAAAAAAAAAAAAAAAAAAAAAAAAAAAAAAAACCATTTTAAACATTACAATAAATGATATTACAATTTATCCTTATTTTAAACTAAAGGGAATCATTTAAATAAACGATGCTTCTGTGTAGGCCTGGATAGCCTGGCCGCCGGTAGGACGTTGGACTCGTTTTCGCGAGAACAGGGGTTCGAATCCGGCCGGACGAAGAATCCCCGTGTATTAAATGGTGATTGGAGCACGTTAAATCCATCGGGCCAACAAAGTCCTCCAAGTTCCCATAACAAACCAATACTTCTGGGGTTCTGAATTAGAGATAGATGGTTCTCTGGTTTAGGTCAAAATTATGATCTCTGGATGAATGAAAGGAGCATGATTGGGTTATCCCTTTAATACGGGATGCGACGTACGTGTGGCTGAATTTGCATTCTTGGCCATAGATGGCGCCCCTGAAAAAGCAAAAAACGCACGCTCTGCCATTGTGGGTGTTACACTACGACTAAAGTTATAGTAGAAACCTATCCGTTACAGAAGCTATTAACAGTTTTTTTCATATGTTTAAATTGAGTCGTGGTGGCTCAGGGGATAGAGCATTCGCCTTCCAATCAGGTGAGCCGTGTTCGAATCCAAGCTAGGGCTGGTCGATATGAATTCCGCATTCGGCTTACACCGACTACTGTGCCGGCGTAAATATCCTCAGTGGTAGATAGTTCGTGGGTTAGAGTCCCCTTGCCTTCAGACTAATCCTGGGAGTTTTTCCTCTCCATGTAACGCAAATGCTGGTTAATTCCATAAAAATCATCCACGAAGGCACATTTCTCCCAGTACTCTGTCCAGGAGTTCCCTTGTCTTCTGGATTGGGTTCAAAACTACAAAGCTGCGGAGTTGAACAATAGTAGCCATTAATCCAAAAAATGGGTCGGCTGTTCAACGAAGGTTATAATATAAAATATATGTATAAAAAATACGTTTAAATTAAAACATGTAAAAAAAAAATTACAATTGAACATTAGTAGTCGTAGAAGAATAGTAGAAGACTTATTTCAGTGGTCATAAGGTTACAACGCTTTTGCTCCCCTTGATTGTAGTAGTTTAAACATGGTTTCTGATAATAGCGGTTAACTTAGACGTGTAGTCATTTTATTAGGCTGATTAACCTAATAGGTTTCACTTACATTGAAAATAGTTAATAAAAATTTAACTATGCGGGTATGTATTTTTAAATTTTTTCAAAGTTTTTTTTTTATGAATAGCTTCTTATGATTTCGATAATTTTCTAGTTATTTGGTTGGAACATCAAAATAATATATAATTTCAAATACTTTACTAGAAAACTTATTCTAAAACACTTACGCAGCAACCAGGGCTTTTTCATCATTCTTATCCATGGTTATAGCTGTAGCACTGTACGCCTATACAAAAAAAGAAACAAAACAAAACAATAAATAGAAAGATTTGATAAATTTCGAAGATATAATATTTTATATCCAATAAAATAATTAATATTTAGTAATCTAATACTATTTTGTATTTTACAGCCCATGAAATATGCTTTATAATGAACAGATGGAAGTTTCATGTAAAATAAACGGGGGTTTTAATCCAGTAAAAAGAATAAAAATTTTTGGGAGAGTTTTTTCGAATACGAGACATAATATGAAAAAAATACATTTAACTGTTGGTCGACTATGCACTAAACTATATAAAATAATTATTTTGTTTGTTGTCAGAAATAACGATTTCTTCTTCTTTTGCACCAAATTTGTAAAATGTCAACTGAACAATATATGAGTGATTCTTTTTAAACATGACAATTCGGACCAAAAAATTTCTTCAAATTTAGTCTTCAAAACAATCTAAAAATTCTTTCTTTATGCTTCTTTAGTTACATTTATTAATATCTTACAGACAGCAGTGTAGTTTTTTGACATTTGCTCAGGAAAAAAAATAAAAATAGAAATTCACCAAATCTTGAATGCCAGAAAATGAAATGAAGTTTAAAAAACAGTCCTTTTAAGTTAATAGTAAATAACTCAACTTAAGCCTTTATGTTAGATGGACCATAAATTGCTTAAATTAATTCTTTTTATTCACTGTAGAAAGAATCGAATTGTTTTTGTTGCTGATATGTACTGAATAAAATTGTGTATAATAATCAACCATTAAATAAATAAATAACTTTGATTAAATCCAACCATATTACAATCATACATAAACTTGGTATTAGGCTAATATTTGCTTTCCCTCCTTACAGTATTAGCAGTTAAAAAAATATTTGGTAACACTTCAATGTCCTGGAATTCATAAGACAGGAAAATGACAGCCAGGATAATGACAAATTCGCCATTTTATAGCATATAACTTTAATTTAATAATTTGACCTAAGACGTTTACATTCTGCAGAAAACAACAGAATTTCTTAAAATAACTCAGATAAATCTATGTAGTTTATGTTATTAATGATTTCAAGAAGCCAGGAAACTGACAACACAAAAACCGACTCATCATGAAAAATTTTTTGAAATAGATTTTGAACCAGAAAATTGATTCTTTATTCATGCAACAAGACATGTTCATATAGGAGGGTATCTAATCAATCTATTAACATAAGATATTGATTGCTGGCTCTATCTATTGTGGTTATAAGCCACTAAATAAAAGTAGCCAGGAAAATGACAGATTTTCTTGGGACAAACAAATTATTGACAGAAAAAACTATTTTAAACGACGTTTTTGTAAATAATACCCTCTGCGTATATTCTAGAAATGCTTACACCGGTTGAGATAAAAAAAATTAGATATTGAAACATTTATGGGAAATTTTGAAGCTTGTTATTATTGGAAACATTGGTTGGGACATGCCAGGAATATGACATTTTGAAGTTCAATTAAATTTTCGAACTATACAAAACAGTCAATGCTGGTGCAAAGTCATTTTAAAATGCTAACAGCAATGCGATTCATTATTTTTTTTAAAAAAAAGTCCTTTTAGTATTATGGTATTAGATCTTGGAGCAAGGGACAGTGAATTGTCATATTTCATGATAATCACCCATATATATATATATATATACATATATATATGGTGAAAGAAGGAATATTCAGGGTGCCATTTTATATTGGTGATGGATATTCAGGTGGTTAGGAGAAGCGTACATGAGTCGCCAACAAATTTATGAGAATTATTATAACCATGCAACTGAAACATTTTTGTGGTTAGAAATTTAAAATAAAAATTATAAATAGATTTTTGTTTTCGATTAGAGGCGACAGTGAATTAATAAGTCTGCATTAGTAATGAAATAAAAAGTATCCGTTGCATTGATCTATAAGAGAAGGATAAATATTTTTATTCTCATTTTAAAAGATTAAGTCTTTTATTTATTTTAAATGTAATTCTATTAATAAAAAAAAGCTTAAGTATATATATATAGTCCCTGTCTAAATTATTATACGCACTATAAGATTCTATATAAAATCTTAATTATCATGTAATACTATACAGCTTTATTGTTTTTACGCGTCTGAAACTGGTTTGCACTTGCTTACGTTCGTGTATCAATTGGTTAACATTGTAATGCAATACGTTAAAAATAAATACACATGAAATGTATATAAAAAATCTTCTAAATAAAAACCCATTACGTGTAAGTTTAATTATAAAATTATTGCATATTAACTCGTACAAAAGATGTAATTATTTAAGAACTGCAGTGCGTCTAATAATTTGATCTAATTATTACAATTACAATATAGTAATGCAATACCTGATATAATAAATATTCTATATTTATGTAATATATCGTCTAATTTCATCAATTTATACACGAACATAAACAAGTACATACCGGTTTCAGTCACGTAAAAACAATAAAGCTGTATAGTATCATCTGATATATATATATACTTTGGTTACTCCTCAACTTTTTCATTTTAAAGATAAGCGTACAAATCGAGGTAAACGGGGATCAACAAGTAATAGTGACAAATTAAATATAAATTTTATTTCTAATATGGAAAAAGATTTTAACAAACATTATAATATTAAACTAGTTAAAGATTTTGTTTTCTCCCTTAAGAAAAATGATGTATATAAGCTTCAAGATCTTATTATTAACGTTTCTTTTATTAATTTACACTTCAAAATTCTTTGTTTCGATCTTGTAAAGGCCAAAATGAGTAAAATTTCTCCAAATAAAAAGAAAAATTAAGATAATTTATATTTCGTTATTAACTTTCAAAACCCTATTTTCGATAAGATCAAATTTCAAACTATTTTTGAAAATTTTAAAACTTTATTTCCATTAAAAGATTTTAACATAATTAAAAGCTTTAAATATAATAAATCTCTCGGTAGAACTATATTTAATTATAATGATATAAGCAAAAATTTAATGAGAATTAATGTATCCGATTATGAATGTCACTGTGAAGAAGAGAAATATTTTGATTTAGTTAATAAACATCATAAACATATTATTACTGGTAATTTAAATATTCTATAATACTTAGAACTTAGGAATTTAATGATAAAAGGCACAAAATTTAGACCCATTTACCATATATAATTTTAAAAAATTCTAAACTGCTTTCTTAATGATCTCAATAGTTTTTCTTTAAAGATATCAAATAGATTCTCTTTATCTTTAAGTATGCTAACAGAATGGAAGTGGGGTGTTTATTATTACTCTAAAAACTTTGTATTCAATAATAAGGATAATTTAAATAACAGAAACAGTTTAACAAATTCTTCTAAAATTGTTCTATCAATTAAGCAACTACAAAAAAGTTTTACAATTACTCCCATAGACCAAGCTAACAATAATTATACAATCTTCTGTGAAAAATTCTATGTTGAACTTTTAAATACGGAGTTAAAAAATAGTAAAAATATTAAACTTAGTAATTTAAATAATAATATTGTCATTAAAAAAATTTATCTCTATATCAGAGGTTAAAAATTAAAATTAGCAATATACAATTTCCTTACTTAATTATCAGTCCTAAATTTCATAAAATTCCCATAAAATGTAGAGCAATGACGTGTGGATCTAATACTTACCTAACTAAACGTGGCACCATTTTCTCTAACTACTTAAATAAAATTATTAACAGAAGAATTATTAAAGAAGGGTTTTCTTGGATTATCACTAATAATCAATCGATTTTTGAATTCATTAAACATTATAAAATTAATTCTATTGCGACTTTTGATTTCCAGGATCTTTTCAATAGCATTCCCCTTTCTAAAACAAAAGAGGTCCTTTTGAGTTATTACTATGATTTTAAAAATATCCTTTATTGCGATTTTGATTATTGGGAAATTCTAATTTTGATTATTGGGAAATTCTAATTAATTTTTGTCTTTTTAATAATTATCTTTACGATGGAAAGGATATTTTTATTCAAATAGATGAAATACCACATGGATCTAATTATTCATCTCTCTTAGCTAACTTATTTTTGCATTATTATGAAAAAAATTATACTCTTAATATTAAATTTGTTTTCAGATTTATTGATGATTTTATTATCTTTCATTTTCAAGATCATACTATTTTATTAAATAATATTTACCCCGAGGAATTAATCTTGCTTTGTAATCATGATGATAATATTAGTTTTAATTTTTTAGATTCGGGTATTATAAAAGAAGAAAATATCTACTTTGTTGATTTATACCATAAAGGAAATTATTTTAATATAAATAAAATAAATACTTGGACTTCTAATGTTTCTAAAAACATCTATTTAAATACCATTTTTAATCAAATGAATAGAATTAAAAGAATGCCTAGTAATATTTATTTATTCAAAAAGAAATAGACAAACTCTTTCAAAACTTGATAAAAAAAAACAATGGTTACCCAAATAAAGTAATTAAATTCTATATAAAACCATTAAGTTATATATAGAATTTAATTGTATGTTATTGTAAATAAATTTACTAAAAATACTTCTTTGTTAATTTCTATAATTTTAACCATGCGCAAATCCATTTCGGGCATATCCTTGGCTAAAATTATGTGCAAAACGGGCTATTCAAGTTTCTTTCTCTCTCTTTTCTATTTTATTTTTTTTCTAAATAAAAGTTAATTTTCTATAATTATTAATTGTCAACTCCTTTAAATTATCTAGTATAATATTACCTTACTCACATCAATTTTCGGGCCCATCCTTGGTAACTAACAATTCAAACGCACTTCAGTACTGCAGTAAAACGAACTTCAAAACAAAACTCCTCTATTTACGCTTTTACTAAAACTTGAGCTTCTGTTTTTATATTTTGTAATTTGACAATCTTTTTGCGAAAACATTTTAAATCATTCTTGAAAAATTTCCCGTTCATGTAAGTTCATTTGAATTCGCTACTCGCTTTATAGATTTCGTTTCATGTTTTATTCTGTTTTTTCGTGATATTTTTACTTTATGTGTTCTATTTTATTTGTTGTAAATGTTTTGTAAAAATATTTTATGAGTGCTCCTCACACTTTTGTATTTATATATTTTGCTTTGGCTAAATTGATACAATATTAGAAAGCACTCCTTTTTACGGATATAATCGTGTGAGCTGATAAAAAGATTGCAACTTTTATTTTCCGGATTTTTTTCCCTTTTTTTCAGATTTTTGTCCCGGTTTCTTATTATTTTTATTTTTTTTTTTCTTCCTCCTTTTTTTCCATGTTTTCTCTACATTTTGAACTTATATATATATATGGGTGCCCCCTAATTTGAAAACTTTTTAGAAGTTTAGCTTCGACTTCCCTGTTTTATGAAAAAAAGGATGTGTAAAATTTTCAAGTCAATCGGACCTTCATCGATGATGAAATTTTAGAAATTTCATTAAAAAAGTCCCTTTTCAGATTTTTAATTATCTTATATTGTGGTAAATTTTTATAATTGGTAACTGTTATTCTTGTTATGAGTTGCTTCAAACTTTCCTTTCTGTCACACATTTTCCTTTAGCGCCTTTTTGGGATCACTGTCGACAAGAAGACGTTTTGTTTCAATTCCTTTAACTGTAAGAAATTTTTCGAATTTTTTTTTCTAGATTTGTAAAATGGCATCAACTTCATCAGATAATTCGTCTCACAAGATAAGAAAAGATTTGTATGAGCTACATTTCCAATCAAATCGTTGAAGCTAAACTATCTTACCACACGCTAATTTCAAACGCGTGGGAGTAGTAAATTAAGTAAACTCCTACAATAAGAACTGACCATTGCATTTATAAGTTAGTCAAACTCTACGATAAATGGAAAAATTTACAAAATAAATAAATAAAATTGTTTAGATCTGTAGGAAAAGACGAACAATGAATATTTTTGTGGAAACTATGGACGATCTCTTCGACATAGCAAATGCAGATGCTGTGGAATAAGCAAAAATTGCTGATAAGAAATTCTTAATACTTCAGCACAAAAAAGAACAATCCCGTGTTTCAGTTTTTTTAATCTATGCTTGACATAGATCTAAAGCAGAAACGCAAAGAAAAAAAGATCAGTAAAGTACTCAGTAATGGTAGCTGAAAAGGAGGAAAAAAAAAACTTTTGAAGGACATTTGATGCATCAAAAAGTGCGTAGCCAAATCTTTCAACAAAAAATAAGCACATTTTAAATACTTTCTAAGCACTCAAAAAAATATTTTTAAGCACTATACACATTAACAAAATGCAAAATAATTTTCAAAGACTTTTCATGATCATGATAAAATAATGAGTTTCTGACAAAAAACCTTTTTCTTGATTATATTAGCCATTATAAGAACAACTAATACACAACACTAAATTAATAATTAGTTCGCATATTAACATGTCTTATATACTAGTGAATTGAAAGTGGTAGATACACTACACACTCAAGATTTCCATGACAGTTATCAACCCAGAGAATTGATGAAAAAAATATTTTTCTTGCTCGAGTATGTTAGAACCTGGTTTTTATCATTGGAACTCTTTAACGTGATGTATGCCTCAACTGATCGAGGCTATTGTATTTATTAATTTAAACACTAATTAGAGACCATATAAATCTGAAAAAATGCTTAGTTTTTTGCTTAAGTTGGGGATCTTAAGTAAATTAAAAATACAAAAATACTTAATAATTTAGTTGAATATTATAATTTTAAATAACTATGAAAAAATTAATTCAACTTGTGAGAAATTTGGAATAAGAAAATTTTATGTAAACAGTAATGAGAAAATTCCAAACATGATATGAAACCAGGGTCTTTAGTATAAATTTTTAGAGGCCTTATAAAAAACAAAGTAAAAATGTAAGCATATTAGGTGTTTCAAATTAATAGTCTCTGGTCATATCATTAGGCGCAGTTTAAGATTCGGTGTAAAATTTTAACTATCAGATGATACTATACAGTTTTAAAGCTGCTGAAACCGGTTTGCACTTGTTTACGTTCGTGTATCAATTGGTTAACATTGTGGTACAATACGTCAAAAATAAGTACAAATAGGAAGTATTTAAAAAATCTCATGAATAAAAACCAAGTTCATGTATGCTTAAATATAAAAGATATAAAATCCCGCAAAACATGTAATTATTTAAACAGTACAGTGCGTCTAATAATTTGGTCTAATTATTATAATATACCAATGTAATAAATGTTCTATATTTATATAATATATCGTTTAGTTTATCCAATCATCTACTTTACATTATATATCGTCTAGTTTAACCAATTGATACACTAGCGCAAACCGGTTTCAGTCACATAAAAAACAATAAAGCTGTATAGTATCACCTGATAATTAAGATTTTACATAGAATTTTAGAGTGCGTTTAATAATTTGGCCAGGAACTGTAAGTGATAAAAAAACAAAAATGTTGTCTAACGAATCATTTCAGAAGAAGGTGGGACTGAAAACATAAAAAACTGATTCTGGAAAAAACAAAGAGGAGTTCATAGGCGATTATTAGAAACACTTCCTGGTTTAATTAGGCAATCATACTGATTTTGATGCTTTTAATACCATCCTCCCCAGTAGTGATTAGACATACATTAAAAGAGTTATTGTTTCTTCATTTCTTAAATATTAATTTGAACCAGCCAATGTCTCTATGTCTTTGATTTTATTTTAGAAAAGGGTTCTAAAAATATATATTTAGGGCGTTGATAAGGGAACACCGTTTTTTACACATGATTATGATGAAATGGAGGAGTTGACTCTGCTAATTAGAGTTATTTGAACAAATATTTTACTTCATTATTGAAGTATTTGTTCAGTTATTTTGAGCACTATAATTTTTTTCTCTATCATTAGTTGAACAAATTATTATTAGAAAAAGATGGGGAATGAAAAGGTATAAAATTTGCTTCATTATAATGTTGTCGTACTAAGATCACTAAGTTTCGTCGAATCAATAACGTGGAAAATCGGTTCTGCCCGAGAACCATTACACAGTGAAGATCGGCCGTGTTATAAAAAGACAGTTCTTGTCTGCGTGTTTCGATCGTTTTTTCTCCGAATCAGCTATCATGGATATAAGCCGTTCTTCCTCATTCATTTTCGTTTAATAAATAAAATTAAATAGAAATATTTTAACTATGCTAAACGAGAAAGAAAATAAGAAAAAGGTACTACTCTAACTCGTATAGTGAAATAATCCACAACTATATAACATACTATAGTACAATATCTATCACGTACGTACACGTAAAAAAACGTAGAACAACGAGGCGATACAAGTTAATCTATAAAATTAAATAAAAATATTACTAAATAAGAGTGAAAAGGTGTAAAAAAGAAAAAAAATGAACCTAACGCGATTTCTTAGAAACAATAAAATAAAATAAAAAAATTTCGAGCGAAACTTTTCATACAAAACAAATAATGTAAAAACTGAATGCATTTTTTATTGAATCTTTTCATCCAATATATACCGTAAAATTATTGAAGTCGGAAATAAAATTTTAAAAAAATTTATCAAAATCTAAGACATCATTGAAAGTGAAAAAAAAAAAATAACTGTAGACTAAAGGTATCAATCTTTAAGAAAAATAAGAAATCTTTCTTAACTTTACCAAGCAAATGCCACTACTAAACTCATGCTGTAAATAAACAATACAAAACGAAAACAATACACTACTAAATTCATATCATCAAACGATGTTCTATGTTAAATAACTACTCATAGATGTTAAACTAATAGCTGCTATTGTAAGCGTACTGAAGGGTAAAGAAAAGGTACCCAACGCGATAACAGTCAATAAAATAAAAATATTTTTTCAAAAACACAGCTTAAAAAAACTGAAAATAAATAAATAAGCGCTTAAGCGGACTAGACTGTCTACAATCCATCTCCTTTCAAATCGCCGAACTTCCTGGGAAATCAAGTTTCATTGCTTTGTTAATTTTTTATTTAAGACGAGAGAATATTTCATTTGTCTAGCTAAACGTTTTTTTAACATGTTTTTATTTAATGTGCTATATTTTTATCAGAATATATATATAAATACATTCATACAGAATATAAATACATTGAGCTTAAATTATACGAAAAGTCCGATGTATTTTAAATTCTCTACATTTTTCAAACCTGGTTGCAATTGAAAAATTTTATTTGTAATGTAAGTAAAATATTTTAAAATAAAAGAGGCATTTGTTTCTTATAAGAAAATTTTTCTTTAAGGATATTATTATTCTTTGTAGAAAAATTCAAAACAAAACATATTAATACAAGTATATTTCTTGCTTAAAAAATAAATGGTTCGCAAAGAATAATTCACAATCTCGACAGTATTTTCAAACTACTGAAGAAGACATATGGCGACCGAAAATGGCAACAGCATAATAATAAAATAAAAATAAAAAACACAAAAAGCAAACAAACAAGAATGGCAATAAATGTGAAGTTAAAATCGAAAATGTTAGATTGAATATATATTTTAAGGATTTAATAACTGACCTTATATTAGATTGATTATACGGTAGACTGACAACTTCGGATTCTTCTGATCGAATAAATCTGTTCTTATCTCTACGGCAAGAATACTGAAAAAGAGAATCATAGTTTTAGAGTTTTACAATTGTAATGAAGCTTTAATTTTAAACTACATATATGACAACGAATGTAGTTTAAAATCACAACGTATCATTTCAACAATCTCATTTATTTATATTTTTACGAGCTAAGACTTTAGCGCCGCAATAACTTTTCGAATATAAGAAATGATAGATTTCTATTCATCAAATTCTGAGCCATTTTCTTAATCAGAATTAGAAGGGTTCGTTATAAGTTGAATGATCGCAATTTCGAAATAAAAGCAAATCAGAACATAAACTAAGTGAAACTAAACATAAAATTACGAATTTCTTAAGATATAATTGAAATAATAATGCATTAACGTAGAAAAGAATAGTTATTTACCTTCACAAATGGAATATCTTCAGGCCTTTACTTTCAGATCTCTAAAGAACAGTATTTTACGAAAGAGTATTATTCGGTATATATTTTAAGTCACGTGATGAACCGATTTCTGATTGGTAGTTATATATAAATTAATTTCACAAGACCCAATCCAACGTTGCATCTAGTAGACTTTTCCGAGAAACGGTTTGAAGAGATCTTTTTCCAATGATTTAGATGTTTTCATCAATTCTTTCTAAAAATAACTGAAAGAGAAGAAAATTTTATTCAATTTTTTTTTACATCTCACTTTACTTACGGAGCTGAGATGTTGATATGTTTATGGGATCATAATTTTCTTTCAATATTTTTAATTCATCAGCAATGTTTTAGATATAAGATTTATATTCAACAGGTGAAATAAAATTGCAAAAATTTATTGTTTTTAAAAGAGTTTCTATTTATATAATACGAGCATAAATTTTAATAATAAAAGTTAATATTAATTTGTTTTGTTTTTAAAGATTCTTTTAACATGAAAATTTTATTATTTTTAAAATCTATAAAAAAATTATTATAATTAGAATTTGACTCGATTAAATAGCTATTAATGATATTTTTATAAATATTTACTATCGGAAGATTAATTGCAAATAAGCAAAATTTTAGTTTGTTGAGATAAATTTTACGTGTTTAATTTTATTACTAATTTCATTCATAAAATTAAATTATTAATTATATTTTTTCAATTAATAATTATATTTTTCAATTAAATTCACAAATTGATCTTACCTACTAATTCTTGCATCCTAAATAATTTAAGTTTTAAATTACAAAATTTTTAAAAATTAAATTTTTAAAAATTACATTTTTAAATAATTAAATCTGAAAAATGTATATTTCTTTTAAATATTTAATGAATATAATTATTTAATGAATTAGTTTTTTAATTAATGTTTGAGTTTTAGAGTGGGTTTAATTATTTTAAATTTAATCTTTATCGAAATTTTGAAATTTCAGTAATAGAATTACTATTTTAATTAAACAATTTGAATAATTTAATATCATTAGTCAGCAAAATGTAAATATATATTAATTTGTGTTAAAGCAGAGTTTTTATCTCCCAAAAAAGGGCCACTACTTCCGATGCTTTCAATAATATTTCTGTGATATTATCTTAACCCTTTTGTGCCAGATGTACTACTTTTATGGGACGCTTTCTTTAAGAATTTCGTAAAGGGAACAACATTTGTCTGAGCTCTTCAAAATTATAGAAGACATATCCTGAGTATTTGTTCTTGATATATATCTATAGATGGCAGCACATTTTCAAAATTAAAACGGTGAAATTGATGTTTTTACACCAGAAGAATTAATTATCAGAAGTATTGGCTTTCCTGATAAAACATAGCGATAAGAAACGTTATAATATTGTAATAATTTTTATCGTCAATAATTTTATAACTAATGTTATTCATTTGATTAAATATAATATTCAGAATACGCATTTTTGCATTTTTCGACATTTTTTCTTTTTAGTTGCTTTTTCAATACTGTTGCTTTTTGTAATGTTTTTATTTTGGAACGGATATATATATATATA